GTCTGCCCCGTCCACTCACTGGAAGGATGGAAGAGAAGACCACCTGTGTGCCCATCTCCCTCAGCACGCCCCCCAGAGCTTGGTAGTCCTCCATCAGGCAATCGGGGCTCCTCCTGGCCGCATCATTAGTGCCCACATGGACTAGGACCATGGGGTAATAATTGGTGGGCTGGATTACGGTTTGGAGCATCCCTTTCACGTCCTGAATCCTCGCTCCGGGTAGACAGTATACTTCACGTGCCGAGGGGTCCTGGCGATAGATGGGGCCCTCCGTACCTCTCATGATGGAGTCACCAATGACGATCACGCAACGCTTTCTCCTCCTGGTCAGCTTGTCTCCGTCAGCTGGCACGGGACTCGGTGAGCGTGGAGTCCCTTCTTCCCCAGTTCTTTCCTCCCTTTCCTCCTCCTCGTGGGCTGCCAGGGCCGCGTACCTGTTCTCCAGCCGTACTGGAAGAACTGGCTCCCAGACTAACATACCCTGCTTCCTGCAAAATAATTAGTTCCACTGGAGTGCCACATTAATGTAGCTATTCTGATTTGGGTACAAGGATTAGCTTGTTTAAAGCTAGCTCAAATATCTTTGCATGGCACTGTATTCTTCTGTGTAAGACTTCTCTGAAGCGCCTTAGGCAGCTGTTCAGTATTGCATTATCTTCACCTTTCAATGTGGATCCATGCCTTACTGCTCCATATCTCGTACAGCATCCAAACATGACAATGAAAAGTCACAAGAAAATGAATGACACTGTATTCAATGGTGCTTATCAGCACAGTATCTGAGTGCCCTTCAAAGATTAATGTAGTTGTTTTCATACCAACCTTATGAAGTGGAAGATAATATCCTCATTTTGCAGCTTAAGAATGAAAGCAGAGACAAAGACCAAAGTTTGCCAAATATCCACTAATTTTGGTGCCTGTGTGATTGGCTACTCAGCATATCTAAGGCTAGATTTTATTTTATTTTATTTTATTTTATTTCTGTGGATTGAAAGTATTTGAATCTCCTATTAACTGACTATAGTTGGAGTTGAGCACTCATTGTTTCTCAGAAAAGTTAGGTTTATGGTTCTTGGTTGTTAAGGCTGAAATGATATTTTGTCCTTTTCTTTATGTTTGAAATCCAGTTCCTGTTTAACACAAAAGTCCTTATTATTTGTGCATCTCTTGTAATGAATTCTACATGATTTGAAGAATTTTAAGAAAAATTGTAGTGGATGAGTTAAAATGGAATTGCTGAAGAAATGGCATTCTAATCATCATTGCTTTTTTTGTACATACGTCTTAACATTTATTAACCTGTTATTGAATATACAGTATTCCCAGTCTTTTGGCTAACATGAGAGCTAGCAGTAAATGTTCTCAGACAGCCAACAAGTAATCCAGTTTATTGACAAAGGTTGACCAGCTTGGACTGATAATGCTTATATATCTAAGGTAAACAGAAAAAAATACAATTTATAAAAGGTCTGAAAGCTTTTATAAAATCTAACTAAGAAAAATATTTGGCTGGTAGCCATTAACATGTATGCTGAGTGATGAGTAACCTAAAGACGGTCCATGTGCTTGTTTCATAAAAACAGAAAATGTAGAGCTCTTCTATACTTAGGGAAGTTGGCATGTTGGTGTATAGCTTGATATTGCTTCTAATACTGCAGTTATCCCATGGTGCTATTAATGAATTTTCAGCCACTAAATAGAAGGTATCCAGTATCCTAGAGGATATCTAGATTGGTTTATTTTATGCATACATTTAAGTCAAGGTATTATTTATCCCTGGAATGAAGTAAGTATTAAACTTTACAGATGCCAAATGAATGTATTTTACTGGAGCTAAAGTCATTCTGCCTGAATGTAAATGCTAAGCTGTTAATTGAACATGGTTCTATTTGAAGGACAGGGAAAGACTTATGAAAGAACTTGAACAAATGCAGAATATGGATCGGGCATGCAGGAGACAGATTGTAGCACAGATGCCACCACAGCTGTTTGTACCTTCATACAGACGTGTGGAAATTAAAGACGACTGGCAAAGAGAGCTGGAGATGGCCTTTGAAGACATGTATAGTGGAGACAGGAGTAAGTGATTCCTTTGGAAGGTTAAGTGATGTGGTGTCAGCACGTACTTAAACTGCTGTAGACATTCAGGATTAAATATGCTCCTAAGGAATCAAATGATATTCTTAGTTTCCTTTGAAACAAAGCTTTTGTTTAAACTGTTTTGAAAGGACCATTTAATTTGGTATCTCTTAGATCTCTTAGGGGCATCTTATGATGACCTTAATCTTGCAATTTGAGATGGCTTTTGTTACAAATGGAATTACTTAATGTTTTTATATGGCTTCATCTTTTCATTTAGAAATGAAAGGAGACATGATTCTGCAGCTTGAACCACAGCCTTTGCCTACCCCTTCTGATCAATCTCAGGATGATGAACTGGATATTTCCCTGGATCCGGATAGTGTGTGTGAGAGACAGCCAAGAGTGGATGAGGTGATAGAAGAGGAAGTCGGGCACCACAGTCAATCAGAGAGTAAAACTTTCAAGCTTAACTCTTAACTTTTTTAAAACCCGAGGATGTACATTAGGAGAGACTAGAGGTTTTAGGTTCATACACCAATTTCGAGAAAATGCAATTGTGAGTAAAAATAAACACAAAAATAAAATATAAAAGATTGAGGTATCTTCGGCTGTTTTTAATAAATTTATAACGTGAGAAATGAGAACTGCTGAATTTGTTTTGTATTTACAAAGAAGCTGAGTTGTAGTTGCTTTGAACCATTACTTTTGAATAGTTAAAAAATTAGAGTAATTTAAGGTTTTTTAGGTGTTTTAGTAATTATAGGTATGTGGTATTTATACACTTAGTTGCTTTTGACGCTTTCCATTCCAGATACTGGAGTCAGACAAGTATGGAATTCAGATGCAAAAATTCACCTTCTTTTGGACTTCTTTTGAAGATAGTATACTTGCTACTAAGAACCAGAACTACACTTGAGCCCAATTTTATATGCTACTATGTTAATGTAACTAGCAAAATTGCATGATGTCTAATACATATCTAGCACATCATTCATGTTTTGAAAAGTGCACCTATTAATACCTATCTAAATTGGGAACCTGTTCATGTTCCTTGTCAGAAAGTCGAGTTATCAATATATACTTAGTCCAGGAGTGGGCAAAATATGGCCCGTGGGCCAAATTTGGCCTGCAAGGCCATTCTATCTGGCCCATGGGGCCCCTAAAAAAAAATTTGGAAAATTAATATTTCTCTGCCCTTGGTTCCTGTCAAAAATGACAGGAGCCAAGGGCAGTAGGTCCCAGGGGTAGCCTGGTGGGCTCCAACAACACCCAGCCCTGCCCCTCAGCTGGAAGCCCCAGCCGCGGTTTCTGGGCTGGGAGCACCTGGCTGCCCCGGCGCAGGAAGCTCAGGTAAGTGCAGGGGGGACCCCAGGCAAGGGGGGGGGGGAGCAACCCCTCCCCCACGCCCGGTGCCCGGCACTGCAGCTGCTTGCAGCCTGCATGTGCCTGACTGTGCCTGCTCCAGACAGCCCTGTGTGGGCTGCAAGCGCCTGCAGCGTGGGGCACCAGCTGTGGGGAGGGGGAAGGGCTGCGCCCCCCGCCCCCCCTCCCAGCTTTTCCCTGGGCTCCTTCCCTGCGCAGAGAAAAGCGGCCCCTCGCCTGCCCATGGCTGGCGCCCCCCCCCGCCGCTCCCAGCCTGCCTGGGGCTGCCTGGGCCTGCTCCAGACAGCCCAGCGTGGGCTGCGAGTGCCTGCAACGGCGCAGGTGAGGGGCCACTTTTCCCCATGCTCAACACCAGCTTCTTCCCTGCTGACGAACAGGGGGTCGGGTCTGACTGCTGCCCCCCGCCTGTACCACGGGGCTGGGGGGCACTGGGTGTGAGCATGCAGGGAGCCAGTGGGAATACAGGGCCCGCACTGGTGTCCCGGGGCCAGTGCCGGTGGGGCCCAGAGTAGTGTTACAGGAGCGTGGGGTCTCAGCTGGCAGGGGCTCTAAGGAGCTGGGCCATCTCCCCCATCCCTACTGGTGCAGCCCAGCCCAGCTCCACGGACCCCTGCCGGCCTGCGCCCTGCTTTGGGCCCCACCGGTGCTGGCCCTGGAACATTGGTCCCAAGACATTGGGACATTGGTCCCAAGATGGTGACCAGGGGGCGGTGTACCTGTCAAGGGGTGGGGCTACCCATGCGGCACTTGACAGGCTGCCAAAACTAGGTAAGAGGCTCTCCACTCAAACTAATTGCCCACCCCTGGCTTAGTCGAATTGCAGAAGCAGGCAAAATTTCAGATTTTCTGCTATCTATAACTAGAATGATTTGTGTTTACAGCCAGTAACTGTGTTGTGAGAAGTAGCTGACTGACTGTATCGTATATCTTTATTTGTCTTACTATTATGTCTTTGTAACAATTTTTGGTGTGTTTCTTACAGAGCGTGAAGAGGCTCCCCAACCACAATCCAAACTAGTCTTAAAAAAATTGCTGAATAAGATTCGGAGCCAAAAAGACCAGTGGGCATCAAAAAGCGAAGCAGAGGTACAAAGTGACATTCAAACCATTGAATCAGGTACACTTCCTAGTGAAGAGAGACTCTTATGTGATTTGGAACCTGGTCACAACGCCCATGGAGATTCAGTTTCTGAAGCCAAAGGTAAATATTGTTTTGTCCTTCATAGTGAAATCAAAATGCAATGTTTAGGAGGGGAAAAGACCTTAATGGGCAGAACTGTGAATATGAACTAAATAGCAATGTTAAACCTGGATGGGTGGTCACATTACTGAAAATTCGTGTTTCTTGTACTAGCCAGAAAGTGAGCTACTACACTAGATTGTAAATTTTATGGGGAAAAACAAACATGATAGAGGCTTTTTTGGTCTTCTGCCCATTTTGTTCCATCCAGGCATAAAGATTTGAGGTAAAAAATGTTGAAATGACCTGGGCATTTAAGGGCATAATATACTTGGAAAAATCTCACTTTTAATATGTTTCCAAGCTTTTAAAGGACATTCTTGAAAAAATTTAATTGGAAGCCATGTTTCTATTATGTTTACTTCTGAGCTTGTTGGGCCTGTGTGTGTACCAAAAATGGGACTGTTTCTGCTCTATGATTCCCTGATTCAGTAACTAACAGTGCTCTGCTAAATTATCTTTTAATGTGAAATGGCTTGGGTTTACTGTTTGATTTGTAAACTGTTATTTTTCTCCTGTTTGTCTCTGGTATGACAGTGCATTAGTGTATGTGATAGGTTTTAACACTTTAATTATTAGGCAAGTGAATCAACAGCTTTGTAATAACTTAGGAACAAAATTGTGAAGTAAAATCATAGAAGAATGTGGATGGAAGGGACCTCCGGAGATCATCTAGTTCAGTGGTTTTCAACCTTTTTTCATCTGCAGACCTCTAAAAAGTTTTGGCTGGAGGTACAGACCCCTTTGAATTGTAAGTGTCAAAATTCACTTATTTTTGATTGATCCATAGTCATCTTTCATAGACCCCCAGGGGTCTGCAGACCACAGGTTGAAAACCACTGATCTAGTCCAGTCTACACTACCCAAGACAAGATAGTCTCTGTCTAAACCATCCCAGTCAAGTGTTTTATCTAACTAACTCTTAGGCACTTCTAAGGTTGAAGATCCCACAACCTCTCTGGATAGCCTGTTTCAATGCTTAACCACTTTCATAGTATGACATTTCTTCCTAATATCCAACCTAAATTTCCCTTGCTGTGACTTGAGACATTGCTTCTTGCCCTGTCTCTGTAGTCACAAAGAAGAGCCCATCTCCATCCTCTTCGTATTCATCCTTCAGGTATTTGAAGACTGTCATTACATTCTCTTGTCTTTTCTTCTCCAGACTAAATAATTCTACGTTCTTTCAGCCTTTTCTCATAAGTCATGTCTCCTAGGCCTCTAATCATTTTTGTTGCTTTTTTAATTTGACTGCATCTCTTGAAGTGCAGGGCAAAAAACCAGACAAGTACTCCAGGTGAGGCTAAATAGAGCAGGAGAATCATTTCCCTTTATTTGCAAGCGACTTCTCTAGTAATACAGCCCAGCATGCTGTTGGCCTTTTACTGAACTTTTTAATTGTGCACATGTTTTTAAAGATCTTTGTTAAAGTTTTAGTTATTCCCCAGAAATGTTGAGCTTGGCTCTGCTAGAGAAGTTATTTTTTCCCTTATTGCTCTGCCTGTAAGGGTGAGAAATATACTTACCAGAAGGAAGCAGGAAACCTTTTCTAGTAAATGGTTACAAACCAGTGGGAGCTTTGACAATTATCAGACTAAATGTCACTGCTGGATTGGGAACAACATTGAATCTGACCATATAGTTAAACTTTCATTGAGTTACTGAGATGGCAGAAGTGCAGAGGCTTAATATTCCCTTTTTTGAGTTGGTAAGGCGAATCCCTTTTTTTATTACCTGGTAATGCTGCCTCTACACCTTTCCTAATTGCAGAAGTTTGAGTCCCTTTTGCTGATCTCTTTTTAGCAGCTCTAGTGAAACATATAAAATCTCTTCTGAGGTAGCAGTGAAAATGACTATAGGATTTTAGGTAACTGTCTCAGGAAGCTACAAGCAACAGCAGAAATAAAAGGTGGGATTTGCAGGCCTATGAAAAGTGAAACGTTCTCTACTCCCAGTTTGAGAGCTAGGAATAAGTGAAAGGGCACAGTAGGTGAATAAGGCCCCTTTCAGGAGGGTGAGTGTATGAAAATAAGCCACTTCTGTATCTGCTGCTTCTGGGAGGATGGTTATGGGGAGCAAGGGTGAAGTTCCTCAACTCTTGAAATTTTGAGTTAAGGGTACATAAGAGATGAGACATCTTGAGTGAGATTCAAAGACAGATCTCTGACTAACAGAAAAGTGGCCTTTGCTTTCTTCCCTGGAGCTATTGTGGACGAGGGAGGACGATAAACCTCTTGCCAAGATTTTATCCTTGTAGTAAATTATGGAAGCCTATCACAAGCAAAAACAGTAAATTCATTGCTAAGTTTTGTCCTCTGGATAGTAGTCGTACAGTTTCCAAATCCAGTATAAATATCTTCCTGACAATACAATATGCTAACTCTAAGTAACATGTATTTTAGAATCTCTGGAAATACTAGAACAGAGAATTGTAGCTGGAAATTCAGTCCTAATCCATCCTCAAGAACAAGCAGCCAAAATTAGAATGGAAGCAGAGAGACAAAAACAGGTATGTGTGTGCATTTTTTTTCCTCGGCAATATCCTTTTCTTAAAGTGCGTTTTACATCAGAATGGCTCAAATGCAAACAGATCTAATTAGGTTTGTAAAACAGCTTTGACTATCCCTCCCTTTTTATGTACATGTAGCTTTATAAACTGCCTTTAAAGTTAATATTTTTCCATAATCTCTTGTTGTTTTTCTGGGGGTTTTTTGTTTGTTTGTTTGTTTTTTTAATTTTCATCAGCTCTTCATGAGGTATTGAAGAGTAAGGGGAAAATACTTTTGTAGTTTCTAGAAACTGTATTGAAAAAGGTACAAGAGAGATGGCTTAAATTTGGAATTTGATGTTGACAAAATCCTCACTGACGAGTAGTGCCCTTGAGTGTCTGTACATGTGCTGTGGGGGGAGGAGGGGATGCTTTTTAATTAAAGTGGTTCTCGGGATCCACTCTAATTACAGTCCTTGCAGTGTCTCATTTATTCAGCATCCCACATTTCAAAATGGCAGCGGGCACTTTAACTAAAGCTTGTTTGACATGCTTTAGTTAAAGCCCCCTGCCACCATTTTTAAATGCAGAGCGCTGAATACACAAGATGCTGCAGCGCAATTAATCAAGTCTCTTCTGATGTGTTGTAATCAAAACGCATCAGAGCATGTGTAAAAGTGCCCTTTGTTTTGGGAGTTTGGGATTAACGGTACAATAGTACTGTTAGTCTGTGAGTAAGCATTTATAGTTTGAGTCAAGGAATTCCCATGGGTCTGGATTTTTAACATCCTCTTCTCTCGTAGCTGCATCAAATTCTAGACCTACTGCCTCCAAGCAATAAGAACTTAAGCACAATTCTTTGCCATTTCAACGCGTTTATAACAGGTGTCAGCAGTTGAATCTACAGCAACTAGTTCTGGCCCATGGAGCAACTGGATCCAGCCCATGCAGTGAGGGCTTCACCTGTCTTGTGCTGCACTGTGGCTGGGTGGCAGGGAGCTTTCCCATGCTGCCACTGCCAGGCTGCAGTGCTAGAAACAGCACCAGAGAAAAGGTAGTGGCAGTGCTGGCCGGTGGGGCTTATTGTCAGCCCATCTAGGACCTGAGCTGCGCACTTCTGGCCTGCCATTTCAACATGTTGCCAGCTGCTGGACAGTCCTGTTCTACACCTTATGTTAATTTGTAATTTTAAAAATTAAAAGCGTACCTAAGGAAATTAGAAATTGGGAAACTTCAACTTTCTGGATGTATAAATAAAAGCCGGCAAGCCAGGAAATACAGAATTGAAAGAGATACTGTCAGTTTTAAAATTATTTTCCTGAAAAATGCTATCTGTTTTTACTTGTTGCCTTGGCTACTTGTATGTTTAACCAAACATTGAGAATTGTCTCTGGAAATTAGATTTATTTTCCCATCTGCCAGCCTTAGTTATTGCAGTTGTTAGACTAATCACAGTATTTGTCTGGAATGTGTGTATAAATATAGAATTAAAGTGAAACTATGTAGTTGCCAAGATATGTATTCACATATCTACTACATTTTATAGCCCAGTTTCAGTATCGCCTGTTCCCAAAGGTCTGGCTTTTCTAAAATGTCTTCTCTGTTCTATGCGCTTACACCTTTTCATGATCAACACGTTGAACATTTGTGGTGAGGTAAACAATAGCTATGTTGTTCTAGTCCTGTTGTATCCCATACTTAGGGATATACTTAATTCGCAGTTTTCGGAAATCAGTGATATCCAGGATCACTGGGAAATACTCCATGAGCCGCGATTTCCCACGAAATCAACCCATAAAAACCCCAGCTGTTATATGATACGCTGTTTTAGAATCTCACAATCCTTACCGTGATATTTAGACAATGCGGCAATCCCTGCAGCTACTCATGTGCTTGAGATGTGCTGTCTGCAGTGAGGGGCAGGGCCTATTCTCTAGTCTGTGGCAAGGGGCTACCAGGAAATGCCTGCAAAATCAGCCCTTCAGGCCACAAGCAAGCTGTGAAAATGGCTTGGTCTCACTGCAAGTTAAGTAGGACCCTGCTCAGTCTAAACAAACTCTGAATCTACTTTGATGCATGTTGGAGGCTTCCAAGGAACACATGGGTACAGGCAACTGAAAAGGTGGCCCATCTCCCATTTGACTTTACTCAAATGAGCACGTTGCAAATCGGTGATGTGCACTGATAGAGGGGCCATCTGTCATATGACACCTCTGTTTGAGGCTCTGATGAGTGCTCAGTAAAGATTAGCATGTCTCAGAACAGCATGTCTTAGCTGCTGTGTTCTGGCCAGTTTAGTCTCTGGCAGCAATTTCAAATGGATACACTTGGGACAAAAGTAGAGAATATAGTATTATACTGTCTCTGTGCCTGGAAACTAAGTCTTTGGTCCATAATAAATTCCTAGAGAGAGATTAAAAATAAGAAAACCACTTCAGAGGTTTGTGAAGTGCACTGTAAGTTATATATCCATTAAGTACTTCAGAGGTACTGAGAGACTTAATTTAACATTAGTAAAATGTCTTAAATCTTTGAAAAGCACTATAGATTATGAAAAACACTTGTACTTATTCTGAATTCAGCCTCACAGTGGGGAATTTGTTCCATCCTCCAATTTTTTTGTAGAAAATGTTACCTGATTGCATTAGATTTTGATTTTCTCCATTGTGCTATTGTGATAGCAGTTGTTGATGAATGTAAGATAGCACAAAAGTTAAACTGTGAAGGGGCTGGTAAGAATCTGTTGTCTAGTCAAAGGCATATATAGTTTTACATGTTATGAGAATCCTCTAACAAAATAGGGGTTGCTTTGTAGTACAGATAATTTCACTGTATGTGATTTGGGACTTAGTTGATTCTCCTGTCATTTAGTTTTGCAGAATCACTGTAGTATTTCTCTTTGATAGAATGAACAAATAGAGCAACAAAAACAGGAGCAGCTGGCCTTGCTTAAACAAATTGAAGAAAAGCGAATGTGCTTAGAGGATGACTATCTGAAGATCCGAATGCATGCTCATTTGGAAGAAATTAAGACAAGGGGGCAAGAGGAGAAAGATCAGCCATCCCATCTGGCACAGATGAATACTCGTTCGGTTATGAACCAACAGACAGAGGTGGAACACAGGGTAAAGGAACTGATTCCCACTGCTGAAATAAAGGTTTATTTAAGCCTTACTTTGTCCATGCCAGAAGGCAGGATCTCCTACCTTGAAAATACATTTGTTTTGAAGTGGAAGCACTGGTTTGTTTGTTGGCAGTGGGCGTTGGGTAGTGGTTTACTTTTGCAGAATTTCAGGACAGTGTCTGGACCCATGGTAAAAAAGAATAAGGCCATGCAGAGAAAACCACATATTTCCCCCAAGAAAAAGTGTGAGAAAGTGTATAGTGGGGGAAATTGACTTTTTTGAGTGCACAGATACCTTATACATTATCCCTGTGGAAGAAAGGAGATCAGTGATGTAGAAAGGATCTGATCTTATTTGCTTTTAAATGACCTGGAGGCATCTGCACAAGAACTTGTTCTCCAGTGCTCTTTCTGGGGACTGATCCTGTAAACACAGCACCAAGTTGAACTATTGAACCCCTAGAGTTCAAGCCGGCTCAAACTTAAATGGCAGATCAACTGTGAGCAGCATTATAGTCCATAGTATAGCTTTCGATCAGTATTGTTCAGAAGAGTGCAGTCCGTCTTTACTTCCTCAGGCTGAAATCAGGGCAAACTTGCTTCAGCTGGCTTGGAGTAAGAATGAGCATGCTGCCTTAATTCAAAACAATACACATATGAATACTGATGAAAGATTTTCATGTGTAAATAATTTATTTCCTTTTAGACTGAAACTGCTGCAGTACCAGAAACTACCAGTCCTAGAGAGAATGACCATGTACAGATGATTCGTAACTATCAACAGCGTCTTCTACAACAGAACAGGTACATTCCCTTATGTAATCAAGATTGAGAGGACAGTTTCAGAATTATTTGCTAATTGCTGATCCAGTAATTAAGAAGGTCTTCATGTCACACAAGAAACATGTTGTCATTCTGTTTGTTTTTAGGTTGCACAAACAGTCAGTTGAAGAAGCCAGAAAACGTTTACAGGAGTACCAGAATAAGTTGAAGCAAAGATATCCTTCAACTTCTCCTATACCCTTAAGCTCTACAGTTGCATCAGAGTCGAGATGTGTTGCTTTCAAACCTACTTTGGAATCAGTTTTACAAACCCATGTACCTGCAATGCGAGTTCATCCAACAGCCTGTCAGTCAACCAAACAAATGCAGGCTCAAGAATTTGCACAGCCATTAATCAGGTGTTCCAGAGCACATGGTGTGTTAGAAAAAACATTTGGGCAAAGAGACAATGTGCTAATGCAGAGTACAGGCTTGAGTAGTCAGTTACGGTGTTCACTTACATCAGAGTTGAAGCAAAGACCATTTCAGTTACTTCAGCATTCCCCTTCACACAAGCAAATGGAATGGTTGAATTCCAGTAATCAGGTCAGAGAGTCCTCTGAATCCCAGAGGCTGCCAGTATCAGTCCTGACTTATCAAGGTACTTCCTTGGATATTTTGCAACCAGAGGCACAGTTCATTTTGCCTACAGAAGATTCATCTGAGTCTTCAGAAACTTTGCATTTTGAAAAAAATCTAGGATCTCCAAAGGTGCCAAACCAACAAATAGAGACAGAAGCCCCCAAACAGCCTCTGTTCTTAGTACCTTGTATGCCACCAACAGAGGAGTCTCTCATAACTCAGGCAGCATCATTTGACTCTTCAGAGTGCCAGCAGATACCTGCAGAAAGCAACATAAAAACCTTTGAACCAACCTTCACTCAGGCATTTCAGCATCTTACTTCATTATCTCTTGAGCCTGGGGTGATCCAGGAGTCCTTGGCATCAAGAAATAAGGATGTTTCGTTGTTAAATTATTCCAATATATTGAATTTAAGGGAGAGAGTGCTAGCCTCTTCAGAAAGCATCCAAGCTCAGCAAGACCACTTGAAACAACTGCAAAAGCAACTGGACACACAAAGAGAAGCTCTTCTTTCTAGGCAGAGAATGCAGGAAGAATTACTTATATGGAAACAAACTAAATTGAAAGAACAGATGCAAAGAAAACAAGAGGCTGTGAAGGATTTGCTTAATAAGCAGGTATGGTTTATAAGTGCATTATAACAGGTTGTTTGCCAGTAGAATGCAGTGGAATTTACCAGTTAGCAAAGTGATGCATGTGGCTGCATGTGCAGTCTGTCCTTTACCAAAGCATAGATTCAAGCTGGAACCTTTGCAGTCAACAGTCAGTAGACCACTTTTTCTGTCCACTCCAGTTGGAGCTGTACTAAGCTTGTCTGGACTTTGTCTCTGAACATAATGTTCATTAAAGTAGCTGCAGTACTTGCAAAGCTTTTCAGCTCTAGAAATGCAGTTGGTGTGTACAAAAGCTAAATATGTTAATAGTCTTTGTTGTTCAAAGTGTCTGAAAGACCCTTTGTCAAGTAAACTGTTTAAAAAAGCACAACTTAACTGTTCAAATGTGCAAACTAGATAATTGGTTTTAAAACTGTTACATTGTCTAAGGAGCCAATATATTTCTGTTTATTTCTATTTCTGCATAACAGCTATATTTTATTTTGATTTTTAATTGTATATCACACTTGTATAAAATAAGTCTGTCCCAATTCACAAAAGATACTAAGGATGAAATTGGCAATCTTAAAAGACAAATAACTGTTTAGAAAGATTATCATCTCATTCCCTGTATTTATTTCTGTCCTAACTCACTATGCTATAGTTGTCTGCTTAGGAGAAGCCTAGAAATGAAAGTTAACTGTAATATGATGATTGAATAATGGGACAAACACAGACCAAGACTCAGACTAGAGTTCAAGTGCAAAATAGGCTGGCGTTGTTTTGTTTTTGGGTTTTCTTGTTTTTGGGTTTTTTTGCTTTAATAAACACACACTCTCCAGAACCTCTGAGGATGGAACCAGCTTTTTCTCTGCTAAATTATCTTTTCTGTGGGGTGGTCTCAGTGTATCACTGCCAAACCAAGGTACGGATTATTGATTTAAAATTCATATGCCCATTCTAGAATTCAAGATTTCATAGCTGCAGGGAATAAAGCTTATCCATAACATCCATTTTGAGACCGTCCACAGCATTTTCAGATCAACAATCTCTTCCTAGTTGTTAGCTACACAAGATACATGTGAAAAAATTGAAGAAATATTCTGAGCCAGTGACCAGCATCATGCCAAGCTCAAGCATTTAGAATGTTTCTTTTCTTCCCTCCTGTGTTGTGGAGCTATAAGCGATGTAAACAAATAGAAGGAAAAAGATGTCTAGTAAAACATGAGACAATGTTACCTACTATTAGTTCTTCTATTTTTAAGGTTGGACAATTTAGCCCATACAGAGAGATGACAGAAACACAAAAGCCAGACCAGTTCACTCTTTTCAAAGGAACAGAAAATTATCAAGACGAGGTCATCTGTGGTAATGTGAACAAATACAATGAAAATGAAGTGCTTTCATGGCACATCAGTCCAGCTGAGCAAATAGGTGAGGCCATATATCATGCTCTATTATAATTTTGATGCTTGCTTTTTTTAGTTATAATTGAATTCTCTTCTTTTACCCTCAGATTATCAATTACATGCCAATAATTTGCAAGATTGCTAATTACAGAACATTTTTTTTTTTTTTTACAGAACAGTCTCAAAGAATTCCAATAAGAGAACAGAAATGTAGAACTTCAAAACCACCTCTGGCAAAAATCAAATTAGGTCTAAATTTGGAACAACATGAACTTAGTGTTATACCTGAGGTAGATACACCAAGAAGTTGGAATGTTTCTCTTGCAGGTAAAATGCTTACTAAATGTTTTCTCTTGTGAGACACAAAACCCTAAGTAAGAAATTCAACAGTATTTTTCTCTAAGGTTTTGAAATGATTGAGAGTGAAAGCAGTGTTTTCAACTATGATTTCAGTAAAATTATCTGATGTTTATTTCAACAGCAGCAAAATCTATACTACATGCTTTACAAATGCTTAAGATAACAGGGGCCTTCCTGGAAGTGTTTACAGACTGAAAAGGGAAATTGCTTGATTATCCTGTCATTTATGAATGTGACCCTCCCATTGCAGTATGGGTAGATGAGCGGTCCTATAATAGGGACTACTGAGGGCTACTGGTTTAAAAAAAATTAAAATTAAATTGTTTACTGCTGAAATATGCTTCAGTATAAGTACTCCCTTATGAATGACAAGGAATTGTTTGTGGTACCTTTTCCTAAATGGGGTAGCTTTTTCTACCATCAACAGATGCTAAATGCTGTGCTCCAACAGTGGATGGTTACTGTATGCATAAATGATGTTTATAAAACATATTTTAATGATTGCTTGGTGTCGGGTTGTTACAGAACTCTTTAATGATCTTTGTTGAGGTTTGTTAAATACTCAACGGAGTCAATTTAAATGTTCAAACTGCAGTCTGATTTCAACTTCCTGTCAATACAAGACTACTAGAACTAGGAGTCAAAAGATAACAGTTACTGTTTTGTTTCCTTTAAAGGTTTAGTAGTAATTTTACATAATCGATTTCACTATTTCCCCTGGGGTCAGTTAGCTTCCTCAGTTGTTTATGGTGGAAAAGGTGCTTGTAAAGCCACACAAATTGGCAGAGACTCAGACTACGGTTCTTCAAGTAGATGGTATCCATTCAAACCTAGGTTTATATTGTAGCAAGTACTAGAGTTAATGTTCTGATATTTTTTTTAAAAAGGTAAAGGGAACAATCTGGGTGATATTAAATGTGTTAGTTTGGCATTAAAGAATTAAAGGTAGGTAATTAACAATCAAATCTTCTATCATCTTTTCCTTTATTTTGCCTAGGCTCAGTTTCAATCAATTATAACTTATGCAGAATTGATGCTATTACAAATTTGGTTGCTAAAGGGAATAGTGTTAACATGATATGTTTGCATTTGTACAACACACTTAACTTGGGATTTAGACATCATTTTGATTAATAAACTAGAATATACATAACCAAGATGCCATACATTAAATCTGACTCTTTGATAGATCTCAGAATGTAATTGTATGGGGAAACCTCATCAAGATAGTATCTTTCTAGCAGGATCTTGCACGTATGGATTCTTGTTCCTGTATGTACTGAACTTTATCCTAGAAGAAGATACAGTTATTACTGAAAGTCTGCAGGTTACCCAAAGATTGGGAAAGAAGGCAGATCACTGATACAGATCATGATTGGGATTATTTGGTAAACTGAGAACAACAAACAGTTTAGATTTTAATATACTTAAATGTAAAGTCATACATCTAGGAACAAAGAATGTTAGGCCAGGCTTTCAATGTGGGGATCTCTATCCTGGGAAGCAGTCAGTCTAAAAAAGAAAAAAGACGGTCAGACCATGGTAGATGCAGTAAAACCTGGATAATTAATAAGCCCTATACAGATCTTATAAAGCAACTTGAGGGTATATACAGCTGAGCAAAGAGCTTCATTGGACTGCTGAGATGCTCCAACCGACAGCTGTAGCTTGTACTACAAATGGCACTGCTTCTCAGTCGGTTTTGTAGAACCACTGCAGTACTCCAGGTGAGTGGAAAAGTGGCACCCTGTGAAGTAAGTCACAGTGAATAGTTGCAACAATTTGTCCTTCGCTGTACAAACTCTTGAAAATTTAAATGTGTTGTGAACTATCCAGGTATGAATCATCTGGTTTCTACTGAAATCAAATGACTCTGAGTTCATAGTGTGAAGAGATAATGTGTTGTTTGCATGTGCAAATGGGGCAATGAAAACTTGTAGCAATTGGGAGAGGTCCTGGATGATTGGAAATGGGCAAATATAGTGCCCATCTTTTAAGAAAGTTTTGGTTAGATATTAGGAAATCTTTCTCACAAGGATAGTAGTAAAGAACTGGAACAGGTTACCCAGAGACATGTGGAATCTCCATCCTTGGAGGTTTTTAAGACCCGGCTATCCAAAGCCTTGGCTAGGATGATATAGTTGGGAGTGGTCCTGCTTTGAGCAGGAGGTTGGACTAGATGAGTGGTTTTTGGCCTTTTTTCATTTGCAGACCCCTAAAAAAAATTTTGAATGGAGGTGCCATACCCATTTGGAAATTTTGAAAGGAGGTGCCAGACCCCTTTGAATTGTATGTGTAGGTATTCATATACTTTTGATTTATCGCGGTTATCTTTTGCAGACCCCTTAGACATTGTCTGTGAACCCCCAGGGGTTCATGGACCACAGGTTGAAAACCACTGTACTAGATGACCTTCTGAGGTCTGTTCCAACCCTAATTTTCTGCTTCTGTGAATACTGAGCTTGAGTGGAGGGGTTATTGTCTCTGAATTAGCCTGTGATACAGCTACTGCTAGAACACTGGCTCCCAGTACTCATATCAAGAATTCAAGAAAGATGTTATAAAATGGGAGAGATTTTGGGGATCAAAGCTCAGGTTTCTATCCTCTTACTCCCGTCTATTTTGCTTAATAGAAACCATAGAGGGCTGATTTGATTACAGTCTATGTACCTACATATGGATTGGAAATATGATGGCAGTCTCAGTCTAGCACACAAAGGTATAATGAGAACCAGAGACACATTCAGATTAGAAATAAGGTGCACATTTGTAGGTGGGTATTAGTTAACCATTGATACAATTAACTAGGGATTTTACCAGATTTTTCTGGAAACTTCTAAGTTAAGATTGGATTTAGTTTTTTCTTTTAGAAGAAATGCCCCATTTCAAACAAATTCATTTAAGGAAAGTCTATGGCCTGTGTTGCACAGGAGGTCAGACTATACTATCCAGTGGTTCCTTCTGGCTTGAATTTATGAATTTTCATTTGAAGCAGAACTTTTAAAATTCAGGGTAGTGTCTCAGCAGTGTACCATATGCACCTTAACACTTCATTATAAGAAAGTTGAAACATCACAGCTCTGTACTCTTAATAAATAAAAATTTTTTTAAAATTCAGGTAAGCCCGATTCTCCCGGTGAAGAAACTTCTTTCTTTGGCACTGAGGGGGAGCTAACATCTAATATGTGCAGCCATGAATCTCTTAATGAAGAAAGAGACTTATCCAGAGTCCTAGCAAGCTCTAAAGAACAAAGCTCTAATGACAGCTTAAGACAAAGTGAGCAGTCAAGTAGCTCATGGCATGAACTGCAGATGGTGGATGGTGAAAGTTTGTGTGACCCAGGTGAGAGAATCTATCTTTTTAAAGATCTATACAGTTATTGTTCAATGTTATTAGTTAGATGGTTCTTCACCCGTTTTGTCTGGCCTGATTTGTTCAAGGCTGTAGGTTTGGTTTTGTTATAAAAGGGTATTTTGAGTGGGAAAGAATGAAATAATTCATCTAAAAAGTACTAACAATTTTCTCTCTAGACTAGAGAGACAAAACATGGCACATCAAATCCCTATTGTCTTTCTGTGTTAATGTAAATGCAGGGATGTGATCCTTCTGTTTTAGTAACCTGGGCTCTCTTGCTGTGTATTAGGGCAGCGTTTCTAAACCAGTGGGTCATGACGCAAAAGTGGGTCGCAAGAATATATGAAAGGGTCACAGACAAATTTTAAAAATGGATCATATTTTGCATACATTTTTTTTTTAAATAGCTGCTAGTGGTTCACCATATGTTAACACTGTATATACTAATAAACAGGGAATCCGGGTTTTTTGTTTGCCATGGAAGAATGAGGATTTTCTCCTTTTTAAGGAGAAAAATATGGGAAACTGCATGTTTCCCCTTGCAGAGTTCCAGCCTGCTTGGGGCTGGGGGAAGTGGGAAGAGGGTGATCAGGCAGGTGGTGCTACGTGCATGTGTACACAGGCACATAGCAGCCAGGCAGCATGGAGAACAGCTCCTGCAACTCCCTGCGTGTAAGTCTTTGGGGCCGGCGGGGGGGCCGGGGCCACAGGTGGATTGAGTAGAGCAGCACGACTTGTTGCTGCCTCCACCAGAACCACTGCACCTCCAACAGTGCAAGGAGTAACAGATTGGGGTGGGGAGGGGGCACTTCCCTAACCTCCTCCTCCGCCAGCCACTCGTGTGCCAGGCCAGAGCTCTCCCCCACTGCCATGTCCCAGCAGCCTCTGCTGCTCCCCTCAGGCTGCAGCTCTATCCCGAAGTGGAGGTAGGGTGGTAGGCAGTGCGGGTGGCCTGGGGGGGAGCAGTGGTGGTAATGGCAGCAGGGTAGAGCCATGGCCTGGCACACAAGCGGCTGGTGGCAGGAGGAGGTGGGGGCAATGGCACCCCACCATCCATTGTCCATTATTACTTATGCTGTTAGTGACGTGGCTGATGCAGGGTTTTGGCAGTGGTGGCAGCAGCAATGAGTCTTGCCACCCTGCTCTGCCCTCCCATGCTGGGTTCTGACTGCTGGGCTGCAGAGGCAGCTCCTGCCTGTGCTGGTCCAGCCAGGCTGCAGCCCCATGCCTGCAGTGGGTGCACTAATCTGGGAGAGCGTGTGCCCCACCCATGTCCCAAACACCCATCTCTTGCCCCACATACCTGGAGGTCTGGGAGCAGGGGGCAGCGGGTCAGGAGTGATGGGCACCAGCAGGGCTGGGGGGGTGACGAAGCAGAGGGGAGTCTGTGGGTTGGGTGTGAGGGACACTGATGGCCAGGGGCCCATTTTGTACTTAAACTATTAACTGGGTCAGGACTGGCCATCAGTGTTTACAAATGGGTCCTGGTACAAAAAAGGTTAAGAACGACCATACTGGGGGACACTGCAATGAGATACAAGCATAAGAATTGCATTATTGACTCTGACTTTTTGTTAAAGAAAATAAAAATAAAACCAAATAGTAGTTAGTTCAGTCCTTGTTTCTCCTGTTGGTCTCTCTATGGAGGGCTTTGGAGATCGCACCATTGAGAGTGGGAGTGCCAGTGGAGGACACAGTTACCCTGTTCCCAAATCAGCAGAGGTTCTTTTTGTGAATCGGATAGAACAGGGGTGGACAGTTATTTTGGCTGAAAGACCACTTAGTGTTTTGGTGAACTGTTGAGGGCCACAAAGGTAGCCTTGCCCCTCAACAGGTGCCCCACCAGTTAGTCACCATCTTGGGATTTGAAATCCTGCCCCCAACCCCCCTGACCTTTGCCACTGGAAGTCCCTCCTCTTGCCCCAGGAGTACTCCTTTTGGGAGGTGGGGGTTACGATCTTCCAACCAGAAAAAAACTAAATTTGTATACTAAAAATCACACATTTAAAATACTATATTTTATTTCAAAAACATATTTTTGTCCCAATTTGTGTGTTTTGTGCATCTAGAGGTGATTGCATAATAGCTCAAAATGAAGTCTTATTCTTGTACATGGTGGGGGGCAGGGCATGTGGAGGGGTGTGGGGTGTATGGGTTGGGTAGGTAAGGGTTTTTTTGGGTTGCTGGGGGGGGGTACATGGGTTTGGGGTTTGTGGGGGGCTGGTTGCGCATCCAGGAACCCTGCGAGCTGACCCAGCCTGATGGCATGGGACTTGCCATGGCTCCTGGTGCACCATTGGGCTAGGTTGGCTCTGTGCAGGTCCCGGTGTTACAGCCAGGAATCATGTGCCACAGGGCCGATCCAGCTGTCTCTGTGCCATGCTGCATGAGTCCCGGTGTTGCAGCTAGAAACTGTGGTGCCTGGAGGGGAGGGGATGGGACGGGACAGGTCGGCGCAGTGCCAGAACGTGCTCGACTGGCTCCATGCCGCACAGCACATTTCCCTACTGCAGTGCCAGGACCTGCACAGAGCCAGCCTGGCCCATCCTGTTTTGGCCTGATGACATGGGAACTGAGGGAACCAAGTGCCACTGGCTCAGGCCAGCCAGCTTTGTGCTGCACTATGAGGGTCTCAGCATTGCAGCCGGGAGTCCCACTGCTTGTCATGGAGCTGGCTGGCTCAGCTGGGCAACTCCCACCAGCACATGGTTCCTGGCTGCAACACTGGGACCGCAGAACACAGCAGTAGCCAAGCTGGTCCCTGCAGATCCCAGCTGGCTCCTGCTGTCGCCAGCCCTGGCCCTGGGTCCCCGTGCTCCCACCTGCTGCTGCTCCCCACTCCTTTCCCTGCCGCCACTGCCTTTCCCCTGCCACTTCCCTTCCTTTCCTACCCACCACCACTGTTCTCCACTGACTGCCCACCTACCTGCCACTCAGGCCGCACATGGTTCCCAGCTGCAGGGCTGGGATCCTACGGTGCAGCAGGAACCAGTTGGGAGCCACATGGTGGCAGCTGGGTTGGGCTGGCTCCTGCTGCGCCGGCATCCTCCTTCCACCCCATCCGCTTGTTCTTATCTGAGTTTCCCTCTCAGGTGGATGGAGATGGAGAACAGCCCCAGGTTCACCAGGCCGGAAGCCTCTGCTAGGCAGAAGCTTCCAGTTGGCAGCCGGGGGGGTGGGGGCATGCCTTGCTGCTGCTGCCTGCCTCCAGCTCTTCCATGGTCCTGCTGCCAGTGGTGCCTTGTCATCTTTGACAGGCAGCCATGGGAAGATGATAATTTTCTAATTTTTTTAAGGGCCCCACGAGCCAGGTAGAATGGTCTAACGGGCTGAATCTGACCCACAGGCCGTATTTTGCCTGCCCCTGAGATGGAACAGGTAATTCAGCATAAAATGAGCCACTGAATTTTCTTTAAGGGCTGGTGAATACTATTTTGTATGTTATGGATAAAGCAGGTGGTTTATAAATGGGCCCGGGTAAGCAGTCTTAAATAAAATCTGCATGCCCAAATAAAATATTGTCCAGTTACTAAAAAGTCTTTACAACATTTATCTCAAAATGGACAAATTATTGATTCTCAAATCTTAATACCCACATTCTCTCTTTGCTTACCAAAATATAGCTTACTATGTACTTTTAAATGGTAAGATGCCCTTGAATTTAAGATGCATCCAAACTTTCTGACTCCAAATTTATGAAAAAATAAATAAAACGGCAAATAAGGACACATGTACACAGTTATAATCTCCATAGTATAAGGATGTCAAGCGTAAGGCCTGTGGGCTGGATCTAGCCTGTGGAGCCATTTGATCCAGCCCATGAGTTACTGGCCTTAGCCCCATGTGCTGATCCTGGCTCTGTATGCAACATGCAGCAGACAGGCTGGACCTGGCACTGCATACACTGCAGTATCCTGCAGGCATATACTGCAGGCAGTACAGAGGGTTGGTCTGGGGCGTTGCATGCAGCCTCTGTCCTGGACCCCCCTCTGTGCCATGTGCAGCACTGGGTCCAGGCCATGCATCATGGGCAGTGCGCACCCCATGGGCAGTGCATACTTCACAGGGCTGGACTGGCCATGCATGCTGCATGCAGGGGGGGCCAGCACAAGGCACGTAGTCTTTGCAGTACCTGCCAGACCTGAAGGGGGTCCAGGGCACATGCTGAATGTGACACCCCGGGACTAACACCATGTGCTGCTTGGAGCACCAGATCCAGCGGTTGAGAACGCAAGCACACTGCAAAGATTCCAAGCTATAAAAGCTTACCATTGTTATAGCAAAAAACACTCCAGTGCTCACCTTCCCTTGGGGCCAGGGAATGGCTTTGGCTTCAGTTTTCTTTGCAATGGCCAGCGTAACAATGCTTTTAGACAGTCTCACTTTAATTCTGTACTTTGGCCTCTACACCTCCCTGCTAATCAATCCCACTTTCTGTTCCTTGTAGGTTCTCCTCTTGCATTTAGAATCCTTTGTGATGTATGTGTTCATTAAGGCAAGCATGTACCCCCTTCCCAACCATTTTTTTCCCTTCTTCAGGTATACTTTGCCCCCAAGATGTTCTCACTGAATGTATTTTCTTTTACAACATATCCAAAGCTTTCAAGCTATATGAAAAATAGTGTGGACTGGAAATATATCTGTATGAGATATTGGTTATTTTTTAAACTCTTGTTTTCTCTTAGTGGGCTAAACATTGTTTGTTCCTTAAATGTTTGAGATGCCAAGCCTTGACATATAGTTGCAAATACTGTAGTCAAAGACTTCTTTGTATAAACCTTCGATGCTTCCCAGAATCTGTTACGCAAAGAGAGAAACAGATTATTTATGTATAATACAGCTAAGGCCATTTGATGCTACATCTAATTTCTAATGTATGAAGCCACTGCAATGACATTTATGTTAGCTAGGGAATAGTTATCTGGCAAGACTTATGCAACTTTCCAGGAAGAGAATCAGCCCTCCAAAGACTAATAAAGAAGTCATTATCCATTCTTCTTACTGATTAGTTAAAAAATTTAAGAACTATATTAGAAAGGTTATTTTGAGAACTGAATTACTGATATAAAAGGTAAGTTTTTGGACTTGACATCAAATGTCAACCCTTAATAAATCTGACTTTCATCAAGACAATGTCTCAAAAAATGGATTGAGGGAAAAGTAGTTTAGAAAGATACCCAACCATTAAATGTGTCTCAAGAATTTTCTGACATATTTTCAGCACATGCAGCATACTCCTAAATATGCTACATAACTTCAGCTCCTAAGATCAGTCTGCAGAGGCTCCTAGCCAGTGAAAGGATAACAACTATTATCAAATCCAACCAACCGACCATGAAAAAAGGAGTATTTTCTTCTTTCCAAGGAGAAAGGAAGTTATAACAGCCCTCTGAGTGGAACAACATACTCTCTCCGCTTTGCCTCATTCTTAACAGCCCCCCAAACCTGGTGCAGGCCCTGCTGGCTGTAAGCCTGCAAAAATGGCAGCCAGCCCCAAATTGGCAGCCAGCTGCCTCTTCAATTTCAGTAGGTCCCTAGTTAGAAAAGCTTTCTGTTAAGAGTCAGGTACATTAAGGTATTTCATGGGCCAAGCTGTTTTTCTTTAATATATTTTCTGTTTTGGTGACGGAAACCAGAAACTTCCTGGAATTTCTTTAATTAGCCTAGACACCTAATTTAATAAGTGATCAAAATTATAATTTCTAGGTATCATAAGAATAAAAATAATTGTATCTTTTAAATTTTAGTTTAAGGTGCAAGTTTGTAATAACTTTAATAACTTGATTAATAATCTTTTAATTATGACTGAAGTTCCCCCCCACACACACACATGGAAATACATGGAAATATAAGTTACAGTTACAGCTTAACTGCATGTACATTTAAACTAAATATTCAGTTATAGAAATATTTAAGAAGTTTTTCCTTCTCTGTTTGCTACTCTATTCCTTACCCTATGATGGCTTTTTTGGACAGGTTTCCAGGGGTAACTATTTACCATGACCTATGGAAGTCATTATTACTGTTTTTCTGTGATGCTTTTTCCTCATCCTGTCTGCTCAGTCAGAATCTTAAGTGCTTTCATTCTCATGGTCCTGGATTGCAGGATTGACCTGAGGACTGCAATTCAGAAGCCTTGTATAGTATAAACTGCCACCATATATAAAGTATAGATTAAAAACACGTTTTAATAACTCTTAAGTCTGAACATATTTAGGCTGGATGAGTCTGTTCAGTGAGGCTTGTATACTATATTTGTTTAAAAATTGTAGCTAAATTTAATATATAAAAACTCTTCTCAGTTTTTTCAGCCTTAAGCATCATTCTTCTCCTTCATGTTCATCTGCTCAGCCTCCAATCCAGGACAGTCCCTCTAGCATTTTTCAGATGTGATTATCTTCTTCCACATTGCTGCCCCAGTCAGAGCTCTGAATCCTAAAATTGTTTCTTGTCTCATCCATTTTCTTTTGGCTTAACTATCCATCTCAATGCAAAATGTTTACCTGTGGCTGCACATATCCCATGCCTTTGCTCTCATCAGTTTGTATTACTGGTTGGGTTTCACCTAATCTTTTGGGAGAGGGGGGTGGGGGGTCATTTGTTTTGGTTGGCATTTTCTTTCATGTTTTAGGTTGAGCAGTTTCTCACTTGGAATTTTGTCTCTGGAAGTAAGAGTTCAGACCATTCATTCCCAGCTTATCACTGTTTCCACTGGACAAATAAAATCCTATGTATTCTTGCCTTAATTTTTAAAAAATATATAAATACATTGTCACAGTGTAACAGCCAGTATGTTAGAGTACAAAAATCTCTTATAGGAGGCTGGAGGCGGTGTGAGACAAAGATACTCTATTGGTTAAAAATGTTTCTATTGCTATCCTCCAAATACAATGCATTTTAATGACAGTCCTGTAACTAAGCAATGAGAGAAGGTGAAACTCCTTTTAACCCCACTGAAATTAGTAGTTAGTTCGGCTTAGAGCGATAAACTGATGCGTTCATCATTTGTATTAATAGTAGAAAAACAAATGTATTACTGCTGTAAGTAATAAAGCAATTGCAATTATGGAATAGCTTTAAGCCAGAAGGGAGCATTTGATCATCTAGTTTGATAGCCATAATGCACGCCATTAAATTTCAGCAAGTTCTCCCCGTATTGATCCCAATAAATTGTCATTGGTTTAAGTGTGTTATTCAGAAAGGTATCTCATCTTGATTTGAAGACTTCAAAAGATGGAAGAGAATCCACTGTTGTCCTTGATGATTTAATCCAGGGGTTGGCAACCCTACAGCTGGGATTGTATCTGGTCCACAGAGAGGATGGCAGTGGGGGAACCCACAGCACTTGTGGTACAGGGGAAATCAGAGGCAGAACAAATTGATGTCAGCCAGGTGACAGGCAGTGGCCCATGACTCTTTGAAGGTTGCCAGTTCCTGGTTTATTTCAGTCCACTGTTCAAAATCTGCATTTTATTTTCCATTTGAACATATATGGCTTCAACTCCTGATCATTGGTTCTTATAATGTGTCTCCGTTAAATGAGAGCTCTTTTGTCCCAACATTTTCTACCTTTGAAAATACTTAATATACTCTATTGAAGTACATGTCCTCAGGATGGAAAATAGGCTATGCCCCTACCCCAACTATTGACTTCCCTGATATAAAGCATGCTCATTAACTACCCAGAAAGTACCCTTCAGTAAGGCTCATCTGCTTTCTCAGAACACCTTATGCATCTGATAGTGACCTTGGAATGGACAAGACCTAGTCAGATTAGAGTGGTTTTGGAAGCTTTGAAATGACAGTGACTAAGCAGTTAAGCTACAAAGTAGACAGTAAGTCTGACAATCCTGTGCTCTTAGGTATTTTATGTGCATGACTGGTATACAGACAACAGATATATTATAAACAATACACATAGTGGCATACAGTTAAGCAAACTACACATATGTGGACTACATTGTGTATGTTAAGAGATGACTTGATTGACATTTTCTTTTTAATTGAGCAACTTGTATCTCATTTTAAAGAATTCACTCTCCATCAAATAGTTTTTGTAGGTCTCTTCTGTGCCTTTAATGTTTACACATCCTTCTTAAAATTTGTACACCAAAAATGTATAAAATATTCCAATATTAGTTGCACTGTCGCATCTCCAAAGACTTCACTAGCTCTTTTGCCACAGCATTGCACTGGGAACTATATTGAGTTTATGCACTATAACCCCTACATCCTCTGTGAAGCTGGTGCTTTCCAATTTCCTGTTCTGTATGTACTGTTTACATTTCTTGCTTTGAAGTAAATATTTTTTACATTTTGGCTGTATTATAATGCATTTTGTTTTAACAGTCCCAACTAACTGAGAGATCCGGATTGTTCTTTGTGACCAGTCTGTCCTCATTGACCATTCCACTATTTTTTGTCTAATACAAATTCAGTCAGCAGTGACCGAGGAAGGCAAAAAAACCCAATCTGTCCCTGGGATAAAAGTTTTTCCTGACCCCAGATGTAGTGATCTGACCCCGAATCGAGGGACAAGACCGTCTCTAGCCAGGAACCTGTCTTTAAGCTCCAGCAGGAGCATTGGCACGCTCCAGTCAAAATCCCCGTCTTTGGCTGTAGCTAACACCCAATGCTTCTGAGGAGGGGCCAGGGAAACCCTGACACATGTAGCAATGGAGGGTGGGGGGGCTTCTCTAATTTCTCCATGTCCTTTTTTAAAATGTGGAGCCCAAAACTGCACACTTATCTGGCACGATTTGAAAATACTTAAGTTCCTGCACACAATCAAGTTTTCTTACTTGAAAATTACTACTAGAAAGAATGTTTGAGCAAAAATGTTTTAAATAGAGCTCATCTATCAGAGTCCCACCTTCACACAAACTTTGAAGGCGCTGCCAGCTTTGAAAATAACTTTTTCAAATTTAAGTCTGAAGCTAGTTTCTGGGTTGGGTTTTTTTCAGGCACCAATTTGATTTGTTGTACTTTGTTATGAGAGAGTGTGGAAGCCAAAATCTGGTTCTTCCCATTCACTTTTGGAAGCCAAAACTTAAATCAGGGTACAGTAAATGGGTAATGTTAGGCAAAAGAAGTTACTTGTATTCAGTAAGTGGACTGACACTAAAAAACCCATGGTTCATTCTGCAACACCCAACAATAAATTTCCAGTTCTCAGCCTTCTAAGTGACATTTATTTCATAGAATAGAAGGACCAGAAGGGACCTATAAGATGGCGTCCAGTCCCCTGCCACGTGCCAGAGGCAATTGGGCTTAAACAAGCTCAACGAGGTGCCTGTCCAGCCTCCTCTTGAACGCCTCCAGGGATGGCGACTGCACCACCTCTGCTGGTTTCTTTAGTTTTTGGTGGTGTGTTCTTCTGGAGAGAGAGCAAGCATGGCAATTTGAAGTCAGAGAGGCTGGTTATGAGAGCTGCGCTGTGTTGTCAAGGGAAATTGCTGTTCTTGGAGTAACATAGTGGAGGAGAAAGCCTTTTATAGGTAATAAGGAAGAGAGAAACAGAAGTCTACAAGTTACTTTGCAGTGGTAGAACTAAAAGGTATTGTTGCCATCTAGTGCTCAAAATGTGGTAATGTTGGACTTTTAACTCTTGTAATTTTGTGTTCAGGCCAGTCCCAGGATTCTGTTATACCTCAAGATTCACCAGTTTTTTCTGCTAACACTGGAAGGGGAATCGCTGCAGATTCTGGGTTATTTTTTAGCCCCAACTGTACGGTCAGTCATAATGTATCAGGCTTTTTAAAATAATCCTAGAACATAGTAAAAAACACATGCTGTATTCTAAGGTTTGTTTGTACTAATTGGAAATATGAATTGAAGGTGACCTGCAAGGCATGAGAGGTTCTTCTACCTTACTTTTTGTTAGTTGTGTGGATTTATGCACACATTTTAAATAGAAATTCAGGTTTGGTTTTCCTGAAATCTTTAGAAACATGAAGTCCAAGAAATCTGACAGAAATTCCTCAGTAATTAAGGGTTTTGTAGTCAGATTACATCTTTTTCTTTCTTCCTTTTTTGTTAACAGTTTTTTAACTTGCATGTTGTAGAGGAGGAGGAAATCTTCAAAATCTACAATACTTTTGTCCTTTTGCAGTCAAACTGAGAGCTAACACTCCAGCTTTTCTGGTGGCATCCACTAACAAAAATAGAAAAGATGAACCATCATATTTCTTCTCTTAAGGGTTAAACCCAAGCTCTATATATAGAGATATAATTTTCATAAACTTTCTCAGGGCACATTTATGTAGAATTAAAGAAAAAAAAACTTAGTAGTTTTCCCATGCTGGTCACTTTTAAAATAGTCATAAGAGATTTCAAATGCTGTACTCCTTTTCCTCTGAGATCTGCTCTTTTATTATTCAAGTAGATCTGTGATGAGAGAGAGCCAAATCTGAGCACCAAAAGATCAGCTGATCTACATGGTGTTATGATCTGTGTACAGTTCTGGGAAGCAGTGTAACTGAGTGTTTGTGTATTCAGGGAAGCAGCATAATTGTGTGTGGGTGTGGATGTGGGGTGTGTGTGTGTATGGCAGTGGGGTGGGACTTGGAGAGAGTGTACGTGTGGGAGAGTGTTGAGTGATCTGTTATCCTGAGCAATGATGAGCCTTGTTTTTTGCCTGATTTCAGATAATGAAGGCTTCTACACTTGAACTGAGCTCAAAATAAAGTGTGTGGTTCTTGTATTCAAAATAAGTGTTAACTAGTTTGAGTTAACTATAACATACAGTACTAGCTTCATATGTTCTTTAACCCTAGGTAGCACTTTCTGGAGTGCCGCCCAGCAGTTTAAGTTCACAGGCTTGCCTACAAGAGGCAACATGCAATTTGTCTTCAACAACAATTTCCACTGGAAGCTTTTTAACCAGCAAAAAGTTGGACATAAGTCTTGCTAACTCTGGTAAATATTTTTTTTAAACAGAACTTGCATATTCTTGCAAAATAGAGCATAAAGTGTAATGGAATGGTTCTTGATTATAGTTTTATTCAAATCCACTAAACTAAAACTAGTAACATCTTTTCTGCTATTATGATTAATTTTGGCTAATGCTACTCTTAAAGTTAATTATGTTGCAGCTGCAGCTCATTACAATCCTTCACCTTTTCAGGCTGGCAAAATTGAAAAAAATTCAAAAGAAATAAATTATAAAACTTTAATATGTGACTAATCTGTGCAAATTGAGTTACAGTAGAGTAGAGATGGTTTCTTGTACGTTTCAGAAATACCCTGAAGTTTTGGTATGGTGATTTGTAAACTTCAAGGCTAAGTACAGAGTCGAAAAGCCTGAGGCTGAATTGATTCAGTCTTTGCAAGTTAGGCTGAACTGCAGAGATTAAATTGAAACAGAAGTGAACAGACATTTCCCTTTGATTCAGGAAATGCAGCCACATGCCTGCAGTGGCTCAGGACAGAAGCAGGGGTCACTAGAGCACAGCTCTCTGGTATGGAGCCAGCATGGACTATGTTCACTTCCTCTTCCTGCTGCCTCCAAGGTCTCTGGGATTTGCAGTCCAAAATCACAGCAGCAGGACTCTGTAGGTTTGCTCATCACTTCTTCTTCCTGCTTCCAGGTACCTCTGGGATTTGTAGTCCACAGTGGCAGCCAGCAATAAGCTTGAGCGGAGGAAGGGGTGTTTAACCCCCCTCCCTGGCCCCAGACTCTATTCAGGGTTTGCCAGAGGGTGGAGGGCAGTCCCCTTTCCCCCCCCACCCCACCCCACCCCACCCCCACCCCACTGTAGACTGCGCTACATCCCTAGCAAGGCTGGGGAAATGCCTAAACATGTTGTGTGCTTAGTAGCAGGAAGAAGCTGTTCTCTGGCACCAGCTCTATTTTCACACTTTGTGATTGTGTCCTCAGCAATAGTCCCATGTCAAGGAGACAGTACAGGCATAGCCTTAGATTCTTTCCTTATTTCCTATAAAGGGGAATATTTCTTCTCTACATGAATAAGGGTATTTAGGGATACACTGAAAAGACTGAAACAATATGATGCTGTGGCAGTGGGGGCCACTCTAAGTACTTAAGCTACACACAGAGATGGCCTTAGAGAAAATGGCGCCCTGGGCAAACTTGTATTTTGGTGCCTGCCACCCTCCACCCCCTTGTCAGTGGTGCTACTGCAGTCAGGACCAAGGTGAGTAGACTGGACCAGGAACCACCATACCTGCACATGCCCAGCCCAGCTCCTGGGTAATGGCAAGAAAGAGGCTACATGGTACAAACTAGTCCAACAGCCTCAGTTCTAATTTTGCTATTTTAGTATTTCCTAAGGCTTAACTATCTACATTCTTTAATGTTAATAAGCTTCATGGAGCATTGTGTAGGTGGGTATCGCCATTTTAGTGGCAATTTCCAGAAGTCTAAGTTTTATTGTGGGGAAGAGGGGGGATTTTTGAAAGAAGTCATTTTATATTTAAAAAAAAAAAAGTAGTTTAAATTGTTTCAAGGCAGCTAGTAAAACAAAAGTTTTCTTTTCCAAGTAAGTTCATTTAAGTGTTTTACTTGTAACAGGGCATGTCTACGTGTCTACATGTGAAATTAATGTGATGCACATCACACAAATTTATTGCTCCTGGGTGTCACATTTACACGTGCACGTAGGACATGGCATGTTGAGCCAGAGCAGAACATACCCAGCTAACAGAGGGTCTAGGGTGTCAGCCTGCCAGCCCAGGGCTGCTCTGACCCAGCTCAGCATGCTGCGTAGGGGCTGGCTGGGGCATGAGGGTGCCACAGGGCAGGACTGGCTGGTGGGCAGCCCCACACTATAACACCCCTCATGCCCCAGCCAGCCCCATCAGCATCTGCATGTTCATTGCTGCACGCTAAATAATGCTGGTATAGGATAGGACCTGTGTTTAGAAGTAGTAATCTATGGCAGAGCTAATTAGTACATGTAGATTTTACTGCAGAACTAATTAGTCTGCTCCGCAGTAAATATCTCATGTAGATGTACCCACAGTGTGTCAAACATAATTTATCTTGCAGGCTTGTCTTCAAATAGCACAGAGGATAGGATTTTGCGAGAAACAGCGAACAGCCCTTGGAACTCTTCAGCTTCTCCCATGTCTACCGCTCAGCAGGGACAAGGGGATTCCTCTGAAGTTTCTGAATCTCAGTTGGCTGCAGAAGAAAATGTTGTCTCTAAGAGAAGATCAGTTCAGCGGATAATAGACAAATATACTAAAGACTTTAATTGGTTACCTGAAAACAATGCAGCATTCCATGGTAATGAACATTTTTTTAGACTTTCTTAGTACCAAATTTTAGAATTGTACAGTGAGAAGAAGTTTGATATGAAGGTGCTTTAATCTATATTTATTTGACCTCCTATTATGTTCTAGGTTAGTAACTAGCTTGCAGGCACTTTATTTCCTGTCCCAGATGAGATTCTTCTCCCTTTTAATTGAGGGTATGTCTGCATTGTATAACTCAGTGCAGTATTAGGTACCAGAAGCAGTCTAGCCACAGAACACAATGTAGGTCAGGGGCGGGCAATTATTTTGGGCGGAGGGCCACTTACTGAGTATTGGCAAGTCATCGAGGGCCACATGACAGGCAGCCAGGGGCAGATCATTATTAGTTTTCTAAATTTTTTTAGGGCCCCACGGGCCGGATAGACTGGACTGGTAGGCCACATCTGGCCCACAAGCAACATTTGGCCACCTCTGATGTAGGTAAACAGGGTAATTAGTCTGGGGAGCAGGAGGGGGAATGGTATTCATGGTTCATGCTACCATGGTTATACTGCTTCGTGGTACCTGAGATGGCTTGTGTATTTATACTGCACTGTGTGCACATGTTGAGAGAAGTGGTAGGCAGCCCTTGGAACTTTTCAGCATTGCACAGTACAGACATCTCTAAGATCAGGAATTTATTTATCTGATGATTTGATGTATATGTCCAATGTATTTGGTTTTGGAAAATACAAATTAATATGCTTAATAGTAAAAATGAATATTGTAAGCTGAGCCTGTAGTCAGGTGACATGGCATTTTTTTTTTTTTTGGACCAAGAAGTATTTTATAAACACCGGATTTACTTGATTAAAAGACTGTTTCTTTTCCCCCATTTAATATGGGGGAAGAAAGCCTCTCTCCTTAGAACTGAGCTACTGCCTACCTCCTGCCACCTCCTGTACCCTTGCTGTTCCTCCCCTGCAGCCTCACACCCATACTGCACACAGGCTCCCTCCTGGTCTGTCCTTTCCTCCCACCCTGCCACGTTCCCCCTTACCTTTGGTCCGGTGCCAGCAGACTCCCTGCTGCCTGCAGCATAGAGCATGGTTCCAGCCTGGCCCTGTAGCAGCAGAGCCAGCTCCACACTGCTGTTATAGGGCTGGGCTGGAGCTATGCTCAGTGCCCCAGGCTGCAGTGGGGACTGCAAAAGTAAGTGGCACAGCAGGTAGAGGGTAGAGATTTTTCAGGGGGAGGGAATGAGAGGGCAGGGACCTGAGGCTGCAGGGGGCAAAAGTAGTATGGAGAAGAGAAGAGGAGGGTGAAGCTGTGGGGAGCAGGCACAAGGAGGGGCAAGTGGGAAGGGGAGCAGGCATCAGGGGACAAACAGCATACCACCCTTACCTCCACTCTGGCTACCCTCCCTACAACCTGTCCCCACTGCTCCTCTCACTGCCCTACTGTGTGCCTGACCAGCTGCCTCTCCCACTGTCTGTCCCCTCACCGCCTGCAGTAGCAGGGGATGAATTTAAGACAATTCTCCAGTAATTAGATTTACTACATGGAAAATTATAATAAATGTATACATTTTCCATGTGTAGAATCTAATTATTGGGAAGTTATCTTAAATTCAGGGACATGTTAGATTTGAGTAAACATGGTACTCTGCTTCCTAGAAACAAAATACAATACATGCAAATAACAATAATGAAAGTAATGCATGAAAATAATAACATGGTTGTGAGCTGCTAAAGTTATAGCTTTAGCATTTTTGTTTTAAGTTGTTCTGCCCTGGGACAGGTTTCAAAGCTGATTCAGCACAATTCTGTTTCTTGGGTGTTTGTATATGGATGGGGCAACATTAGTGTCAGTAACATAGGTAGTAAAGATTTGGTTTTAAACTGGGCAAAAGTATTCGTAAATGTGCATTAGATAAGATCTAATTTACTGCATCTGAGTATGGGAGCCAGATTTACATTTTTTTAATATTTTTGTTAAGCTCCAGCAGTTGGACTTGATTTGTCAGATATGGAAAGGCATTTCCCTCACTTCCATCGCCAGCTGTTTCAACCTTTGGAACAAAGTCCTGACTTGGATCTCTCATCTTCCCTTTCTCAATATAAAATTTCTCAAGACAGCAAAGACTGTAGCAAGGTATTACATGGAGTTGGGTTTTTTTCCAAGAAGGAAATACTTTCGTGTTCAATTTTTATAGGGTTGTAATCTGTAAGATTGGAAACTTTTTAATCTTCTGGCATTTAAAGATAGGGACAAGCTTTATTGTATGTAGAATTAGCAATACAGTTTACCTAGAAATGTGACATGGAAAGTAGAAATTACTGTTTAAGTTTTTGTTCACTTTTCATATTTCAAAAAATATTAAACCTTGAAGAACTTGAATATTAATCGTGGGTTTTTTGTGGGGGCGGGTTTCTCACTAGAGTTCAAGTTTCTCAACAGAAAGTCAAGACACATCTACATTTCTAGAAACCACAACCTCAAGCCGGAAAATGAGAAATAACAATCCACGTTCTTGTCATGAAATGAAGGGGCTAAATAAGGTTTCATTACAAGCAGAGGAATCTCTTAAAGAAAACATTACTCTGGGTATGTGCGCTGTTATCTGAACAATAATGTGGCAGTGGTGTTAATATCTAAATATAAAACTTTAAAATTGATTGATCCACTAAGATTAGTAAGGCTGCTAGCTACTAGTGACATGTACCCTTTTCTCTGCAGGGTCTTAGACCAGCTCTCAGTCTGTACCTCTCTGCTGAGCCCAGGGCTGCAACTACAGAAAGAAGCTTCTCCCACTCTCTCCTACCCTGAATGCACCCAGCCCCAGCAATTAGGCAACATAGAGCAGTACTATGTCCAGTAGTGTTTTAATGAGGCATACAGATCAAGCTCGGATCTGCAAAGGAATTGATGTGGTGACACCACACATCATACCACTTAACTTGTGGGTGCCAAGCTTCTGGGTAGAATTTGTAAACCAGAGGAGGTAGATGCTGAAGTTCCCTGTAAAATAAACAGCAAGAGTTAGGCATTTGAGGAATGAGATTCACAAATCATTTGTGATCTGATCTTAGGCTTGACAATTTTCTAGTAAAACTAAGTAAAAAACTCTTACCTAACGAGGTAAAAGTACCATATTTACTTGAATATAAGATGACCCTGGATATAAAACAACCTTGGATAATTAGATTCTGTATATGAAAAATGTATAAATGTGTTTATAATATTCTAGATACAGAATCTAATTATTGGAGGTTTGCTTTGACTTTGTCCCTCCCCCATTGATACAGCAGGGAAAATAAATCTGGGTGTTCAGGCAGCTCCCTTGCTCTCTGCTCCCTTCCCTGCCCCAAATTCTTTCCCCTGCAGCCCATTTACCCTCTCCTTTTTGTAAGACCCTGCTCTCCCAGACCACGTGGAAGTAAGGGGCAAATTTGAAAACACCGACCTTGTAATAAACTTAAACTTAGTTAATCGAAAATTGATACATTTTATCTTTGTTTTGCAAATTGGTGCCATTTTTAACAGAGGTACTTCATAAACATGCTTTTAAGTAGCACTTGAATACTTATTTGTATGTAGTACCAACTTTTTTTAAATTTCAGTTCCAGGGCCGAATCAGTTCCAAATTAAGTTCCAGATACTTGCTGGTGGTAGTACCACACAGACTTGAACGACTGAGCTCTGCTCAGTTGAAATTTGGAACTTAATTCAGAGTTAAGAACTTTCTTGAGCCTCTCTTAGTGCTGGCCTGGTATTGCAGTACCTCCAGGCCTGGTGCTCATTCCCTCCTGGGGAAGTAACTCCCTGTTTGGTTTTTTTTTAAGGGCCACAAAAAAAAAGGTTCCCATCAGTATCTTAGCCTTTTGACTAAGATCAAGAATTTTGGCACCAAGGGGAGGGTGTCAGGGCTGGCTCTGGTCCTCCTGGTACCAGTTCCCTGCGGAGGTAACAGACCCCTAGTTTAAGATTCCATTAGCATTTTTGGCACTAGGGGAGAGTGTTGGAGCTTGTTCCAGCCTCTCCAAGTGCTGGCCTGGTATTGCAGTACCTCTAAACCTGGTGCCCCTTCCCTCCTTGGGGAGCAACTGCCTGTTTTGTTTTGCTTTGTTTTGTTATTTTTAAGGGCCACCCAAAAAAAATAAAGGATTCCCATAAGTATGTTTGCCCCATGCGGGCTCTGTGTTTTATAGTCATGCTCCTTGTTGGTTACATTTAATCAGCTTCTTCGCTGGTTCCTATTACTGAGCATGTGTTGCTTTTGACAGTACTTTAATAATAGACAAAGTTTATGTATTTAGTGAGGGTTCCTTGTATGTGAGTGGAAGATGAGGGGCTTTCTTCCTTATGTTGCAGAGGTGCCAATACATGGTGGCCCAAGGGCCCTGGCCCCCCTCAGGAAGAGGGCTGTCACCTGAAATGCGCAACACTTTCCACATGTCCATCATCTTAGGCCCCTTCCCTCCCAGCAAAAATAAGTCAGTAGCTGTGCTATATTGATTGGGGGGAGGCAACCTCGTTTTATATTTCAGTAAATACAGTAGTTGGTCTTGCTTCTCTCACTGCTTCTGTGTTGCAGAGGTCCCAACGTAGAATTTGCAATTTTCAGTCCTCAGACACAAAATATTCTATGGCATAGTTGCCTGCAGTAGTAGGGAGACAGGATATTGACCCGCAAGATCCCTTCTAGTCTTGTGTTTCTATGAATGATTTAAGGATAGAGTATAAGCTCCTAGTTTTAGATTTAACAATTTAAATTAGCACTTTGAGTTCCCTATCCCCCAAAATAACAATTATTTTTGTGCTGAAAGTTATACATATCATGGTTTGTTATTTGCTGTAATTCCGGCCATTGTATAAGGATTTAAATACTAGTAGAGGGGACTGCTTTCAGAGTAGGTCAGTTTTGAGGCCCCTCATCCAGTCTTGTTTTAAATTGTTTCATTTCTGATTGAGTTTATTCTTATAGACTTCAGTTTCGTAACAGCCGTTGTTTGCTGTGGGACTTCTATGTTCTTTGACACAAGCAAACCTCTGTTATTTTACTGAATAAGGGAGTATGGGATTTGGCTCTAGGAGTAATATTTTGAAAATTGTTTGATGTATAGGTGTCTGTACAAAGTGAGTTTTGGATTTAGAGAGCCTGGAGTATATAGTTACCTTGTTTAGAGAGAAGTGGACTTGTACAGTACCTGCTAATTTTAAAAATGTTAACTCCCCAAGATTCCCCCTCCTAAAGAAACCCTCTCATCTGTTTACAAATAAATATTCTAGTATTGAAATACTTCCCAATTCAAAATAGAAATGATATTGGTATATCTTTTCACCTTCCGAGCCTGTAAGAAAACCTTGCGATTCACTTTGTATATGTAGACCTTACTGAGAAAAAATCATATCACAGTTATTATCTGTTACAGTTGACTTTAATATGGAAGAACAGTCCATTCTGATTTGAATATATTCTATTCTGAAGATAATATACTGCACCAGTAATGATGGTGGGTTTTTTGCTCCTTTTACAGAGACACTGTTGGGAAGACTTATGACAATAGTTCAAATTTCTGTCATTGATCATTGTTTCCTAGGGCTAATGAAATGGTGTAGTCCCACTGACTCGTGTGTAGTTGTGCTGAGTTTCACCAGTTTAAAGAAAGATGGTTTTCTGAGAGTATTTTAAGACTTTATTTTTAGATGCAGATGCCTTCCTGAAATAGTATACTGTAATAAATTCATATGATGATTGTGTCTAAATGAATTTACAGTATTTAAAACCATGTCATCCTGTCTGCCTGGCTTATCTTATGCATTTAATATGAAGGTAAAATTAGTTGCTTTCTAGACGCTGGTTTGCTTGAATGCATCTGTATTTATTAAACAGGTTCTGAAGAATCTTTTCATCCACTACAATTGGAATCTACTCTGAATGAAAATGGTCAGAGTGCTGAAAAAACAGTAGACCTTAGCATTGTACCTGAAAGCTCTTCTGAACAAAATCCTGAAATAAAAAATGCAGAGAGTGAGAGGTGCATTTCACTTGTTGGAGACCAATATGAGGAGCTGAGGAGAAACATCGAAAATATTAATTTCCAGTCTTCTGTGGAAAGCCTGCGAAGTCAAAGTCAAAGTTCACTGGAAGAACATAGTTCATTTGACCAGCTAAATACAACACAGATTGCAGTAAACAAAACTCCACTGGCTGAGCTTTCTTTTAAAGAGGATGGGGAATTCGGAGCCTTGTGTTTTGATACTGTGACACCTGATAAATATCAGGAGCTTACTAAAACCCCAGTTATTGCAAGGGAAGCTAATACGCTGGTGGAAGTGGCTTCACAGCGCAGCACAAATGTAGCAGAGGAAGAGCAAGGCTTTTTAGAGGCACAGATGTCCTGCAGTATGTCTAGAGAAACTTATTCAGAAATCTCAGCTATCCCTGTGGAAGCTACTGTGCAAGAGAGTGATCCTGTACTGGAAATGCATGAAAAACAAAGTCCTCATTCAGTGCTTACAATAAGTTCAGGCCCTTGCTTGTCACAAGCCTGGGTGCCAGTTTGGGTAAGCTGCACAAAACAAATTTTACTTTGTTTAACTGCATTCACACTTAAGGCTATTACTCCATGCTACAATATTTTCTCACAAATTCTGCACCTTCCTTCCAGCCATCAAAACCAAGTGGGATAAATTGGGGTGTGCATGATATGCAGGGAAAAGGGTTCCTCAAGGTTTTGGGAATAGTTGGGGGTGGGCATGGAGCCAGTGGCAGCATTAAATGCCATGGCTCTTGGAGCCACAGCAATTTAATATGCCTCTGTTCCCTCCCTTCCCTACCTCCCCACCCACTGCCAAATTTCTGGACCCATAGTGAGCCCCTCTTCCCAGCTGCAGGGCTATCACAGGGCTGGTCTTCAATGCATGGCCTCACACCCAACACACGGTTTCAGAGCTAGCATGCTCCCCTGAAGCTAGTGACACGAGTTGAACCAGCAGCTCCTGCCCTGCCACAGTCCCAGTACAAGTGCTGAATCGGGCCCTGCCCCACTGTACTGCGTGGTCCCAGCGCTGGCATGCCAGATCAGGTCCCACTGAGTCAGCGTGCTGGATCTGAATTTCAGCCCCAGAGACCCCAGATCTTTGGTACTTACCTGTACTCCATGGTAAGATTTTTTTTTCTCTTTTTTGGGTCCTTACAAAAATAGGGTGCATGTTATAGTTGAGGGTGTGCTGTAGCCAAGCAAATATGGCATTTTAGTGTTTTGGGGGTGTTTTATGTAATAAGTGTAATAAATCTTCATTATACAGTATGTAATTAGATCTTGGAATTCTTTTTTTTTGCTTGTTTTTCTAGGAAAGGTTAACAATTATACTAAGGAATTAATTTATCAAAAGAAATACCTTTTCTGATCAAATAAAAGCTGCTTCTGTTGGCCAAGAACTATATTTCAGGTTGTGGTTTAGATTCCAATTCTGAGTGAGGAGGGAGGCTTTTATATACTGGCATATAAAATATTTAAGTTGAACTGAGGTTCTTAGGAGATCTTCTGTATACATCAGTAAATGTAGAAAGAGCATTTTGCCTTTGGTATTTCCTTCACTGCCTGGGGCAGTTTTTTCCTTTTATTTATATGTTGAACAGTCTTTTGCCTTTCTGACAGGCTTACAAATGTTGCTTTTGCTAGAAATATTGATTTTTACACTGATGTTGTCTTGTGCAATTTATCTTACAGGAGACAGAGTCAGGGCATGGTATTATGGAAGAACCTGAACTCACTCTACTAAGCTCAAATGATATCACTGTTGCAGAATCAGACATAGATTCCATTGGCCAAGAGGAAAAAAGAGAAAATGAAATCAGTACCCCAGCATGTGCTGATCAGTCTGAGTTCAAAAGTTGTTCTGAGGTGAATCTTGATTATCTACCATCATGTTGGCTCATTGCTTTAGTCGGATAAGGATTTCTTTCTTAAAAATAGAACCATGTAAGATGTGTTATAAAAACAAGTATTAAATTATGGCTCTATAGAATTATATGGTCAGTAAATAAAAACCAAATGTTTTTTCTGATCCTATGAGCTGATTGAGTGGCATGGGGTCAGTCTGCAGGTGCAATGCAGCATGCTGCCTGGCTCTGCACACCTGAATCTGGCTATGGAGCAGCCCTACACACTGGCATGATCTAGTACAGCATTTCTCAACCTGTGGATTGCAACCCAAAAGTGGGTTGCAAGAATATATGAAAGGGTTGCAAATTAACTTTAAAAATGGATGCTTCTTGTATTTCATCATATGTTAATGCTGTGCATACTAATAAACAGGGGTCTGGGTTTTCTGTTTCCTGTGGAAAAACATGGATTATTTCCTTTGAAGGAGAAAACATGGGAAGTGGTGGATTTCCCCTTGCAGGCTGGCAGACTCTACCCTGGAGGGGAGATGGGGTAGGAGGCAGCGCAGGTGGCCTTGGGGGAACGCCAGCAGCAGCTGGGTCATGGCAGCAGAATAGAACTGTGGCCTGGCACATGAGCAGCTGGCAGCAGGAGGAAGTAAGGGCAGCACAGGCCTGCCCCCCATCCTCATGTTCCTGTAAGCGTGGATGGCACGGGGGTCCTGGCAGCAGCAGCAGCAACAAGTCTTGCCGCTGCTCTACCCTCCCACACCTGATCCCACCCACTGGACCATGGAGGCAGCTCCTGCCCTGCCAATCTGGCCAGGCTTCACATCCATGCCCACTGTGGGCACAGATTTGGGGAGGGCATGTGTCCCTCCTGCCCCACACACAGAACCCCTGCCCCACACACTCAGGAGTTGGGGCTAGCGGGGAGTGAATCAGGAGTGAGGTACTAGCAGGGCTGGGAGGGGTGGGGAACTGTGGGTTGGGAGTGAGGGACACCAATAGGGCCAGGGGGCTGTTTTCTACTTAAACTATTTACTGGGTTGGGACTGGCCATCGATGTTTACATTTGGGTCCTGGTACAAAAAAGGTTGAGAACCACTGATCTAGTACACAGGGCATGTTATCCAGCCCCTGGGGGAAAATTTGTCAATAGGGGAGTGGCAATTAATGCTGTCTCTGCTCCCCGGCCACTATATTTCCAGACGCCACAGGCCAGATGACATGGCATCACGGACCAGAGGTTGAGCACCACTGACTTTAAAGCATGTGGCAAATATATTTTCCTCCAGTTCAAACAGTTTAAGATGCATTAATGAGGATGCTAATGTTAGAGCTGAAGATTGGGTCACAAAAAATTAATTCCATGTGTGAGGACTGCTAATTTTCCAATGATCCCCCTTGATCACATTTTCATTGACCTAGTTTCTTCCCTCTGTATTCAGGTATTCTTCAGGCTAACCCAAACAATCCTAAACTGTTCAGATAATATTTAGGATTTAACCTTTTTGGATGGTTATTCAAAGATACCTTTCCTCAAGTCAGTGTAGATAACATATGTGTAGCTAGCTGGGAAGATGCTCGCAAAGCAGTCCAATGAATATCCTGGCTCCAAGGTACAGTCCATTAGACTAATAGTTGAGTTAGCAACTTGGTTGTGAAGAGTTGGAGATGGAGCCTGAAGGACTTGAACATGGATTTTTAGAAGTAATTAGAGCCTGGCAGTGATTGAGAAATGAGCTTTCAGATGTGGTTGTAAATAATGGGACAGCATTGAGGAATAAAATGTTTTGTATGTAAGACACAGAGGTGGTGTGAGTAGAAGGAAGAGACATAGCAATACAAGTATGAATGGGGAAGCTGGAAATAGAATAAAAGAAAAAAAGAGTAGATATAGATGGAGACAGAACTGTGTGAAAGCAAGAATGAAAAGTCTGAACTTAGTGGTAAAACGGGGTTTTACTGGTAACAGTATGCATCTACATGAGATGTTTACTGCAGAGCTGCCTAATTAGCTCCACAGTAAACATTTCAGCATCTACACCTGTGCCCCTATTAATAAACTCTGCCAGAGGTTAGTACTTTGAAATACAAGTCCTATTGTGCAACTGAGTTTTAAGTGCGCAGCAACACATGTAGATGCTGCCCCAGCTGGCTGGGGCATGAGGGTGCTTCTGTGTGGAAGCTGCCTGCTGGCTAGCCCTGCACTGTAGCACTCTTGTCAGCGGTGGTGGGAGACAATATTATTTGGTGGTGCGGGGTGGGCTGTGGGGGCAGTGCAAGGCCGATGCATGGCAGTGGTGCTGAGCGCGGCGCTGCAGTGGTGGGGTGCGGCGGTGGCACTGAAGTAGTTGAGCCACGTTTGGGGAGGATAAGCCCCGTTAGCCCCAGCCTTCCACTACCTGTGACCCTTGTGCCCTAGCCAGCCCGTCCTCAGCATGTTGAGCTGGGTGGGAGCAGCCCTGGGCTAGCAGGCTGACCCACCACCACCTGCCCCCAGCCCCATGCCAGTCAGGGCTGCCCAAATGTGGTTCCATGTGCTGTGGCCCCAGATGCACATTCCAACACAGTACCTGGGAACAATAAACTCTGGCAAAATGTGCTGGAGTTCATTGCTTCAAATTAATTGCATTCATAGATGTGCCCACTATCTGGTTTTTGAAGGGTGTTTTTTTAGCAACTTGTAAATAATAGTTTTTAATGCCAACCATCTGAATTCCTTGTTGCTTTATGCTAACTATATTTTTTCTTACATCTGCATGAATGGTGATAGAGCTCTGTTTTGTTCATACACTATAACAGACGTGCTGTAGTATTATTTTACTAAAATATGATGTTTTAAGTACATTATACCAATTTTTCTTCTGTTTCCAATAGAAGAGAGATTTTTTCCCGTTAGAGCCAAAAGCAGATTGTTTCATTTTCACGCAGCCTGACTGTTCTGCAGTAACGAAGAGATCTCGTGAAGATCAATCTCTATTACATCAGTCTGGAGGTAGTTCTTTATAATCTAATTAGAGCTGAAATGAGAATTTCCTAAATATTAAAGTGAAATATTGGTAAAGTACAGCTCATTATTGCATTATACTACGTATGGTCCAGGTTCAACATACACCACAGCAATGTGTAAAGATCCTATTAAAATGTCCTTTTCAAACTTGTCTGCCCAGAAGGCTCACTTTAGTCTCTACGAGATACTAAATTCTTTTCATTACATAGTTGACCTATTTAATTAGAAAACAAAACACTTGCTCTGTCATGCTGCATGTCAGTGCCTTTTGAGTCGTGTAGTTTGCAGCATTAAAATTCTTCTTGGTCCTCTTTTACCTTAGTACAAGTCACTAAACAACTTCAATAGAGGATCTCATTTCATCTGTTCTGAGGGATGAGTACTGAATTGTACCTGGCATAATTTATGAAAACTGTGACGCTCCAAAATTTTAGAGTTGATTATTTTCCTGGCTGCAGACAGTTATGCTGAAACCGACCTTCTTTTTCAGTGATGCTACTGGAGTTCACTTCTACACCAGCAAGTTTACAAGAAGCATTTTTTAAAAAAAAGAAAAACTTCATTCATAAGTCCTCTGAGAGAATTCAAGAAATTAAAAATAGAGAAAGTAAAAAGCCACAAGCTAAGCTGTTTCAGAGGAACAAGACTGAAAGATTTCACATGTTGAATGAGCATTCTCCAACCTCTGGTAAAAATTTCATTTGGAAACAGTAAAGCCTGCAGGATTCCCTTTTTAATTATTTAATTGTAGACTCACAAATGCGTCATTTTCTCTATAATGAAAAGATGACCCTAAAAAAAATCTCTCTGAGAGTTAGGAAACAATCTCAAAATGTCTGTCCCATGGTGTCCATTCTGATTGCTTGTCTCTCTCCAAGAGTTTTTTTTTTTTCTAACCAGGAAACATTACAACTTAGTTTTGCCATTGCTTTTGTTTCAAACCATCTGTGATCTATCTTCTAAGGCTCGGTTTCATTCAGCTGTCTCTTGTTGATCAGTGTGTACTCAATTTGTAAAAGACGTAGACTTTATAGATTTTATGGATATTTTATATTGCAGATTTTATAGATATATTTTCAGTTTCCTTTCTATATTATCTGTGCCCTACTTATGAAGTTATCCTAATGGTTAAATTTATATTAAAAAAAAAAATCTGCTTGCTTAAAACAAAGGTGCAGCTGTCAGTCAGTTGAAGAAAGTTGGGGAAGTGAAAGTCTGCTCTCCAGAGGACAGGAGGTCTGCAGAAACAGAAATACACCAGCGCACTTCAAGGTATAGTGTATACATATACATTATACTACATATAAACGACACACCAACCTTTCTGTTGTGAATGTAATGGTCATACATTGCACTCCTTCCTCATCTTACAATCCCCTCATCTGAGAATCCTGCCAAAGTTGAATGCACTTAGAAAAAGTCTGTACAGAGACCCAGCTCTGAGGTTGTGTTGTTAGGAGATAAGGAATACATAGAACTTTTAGTTCTTACTCTGGCTGGCACCTGCTCAGCTGATGGATGAGTGCCTGTGGGGTCAAAAATATCCAAACAGGAAAGAGCAGAAGCTTAAGAGCTTGGTGGGAGGGGGAGCAAATGTTGGAGGACCTCTTTTCACTTGCTGCAGTGGGGGAGCGTAATCTAGGATAAAGATTTGGAGCATGCTGGTAAAGGCAAAGGTTAGAGAGAGGAGAAATGTCTGTCTGCTGAGGAAAGTGCTCTGGTCTGAAACCAAGGTTTTAAGCTGTGGCCAGGGCCATCTCATTGCTTTGACCTGTATCGTTGTCCTCCTTATGTCGGTTGAGCTTGACACATGCTTTTTGTAATGTCAAAATAATACATTAAGAGAGTAACTTCAAAACTGCATAACAAGTTTTTACATGTAATGAAAAGGAATTTTTGGCATGAATACTAACAGACTGAAGAGTCAAGCTTAAATGTATTCTTAGTAATGTTGAGTTAATTCAGCCTATGTAGTTAATGTTAACATCTAAAATGTAAGTTGAGACTCTTTTGATGAGATGCACGTATCATTTCACTGTTTGGCAGGCTTTATAACCAATTAATGGAAGTGAAAATCAGAAAGGAAGAAAAAACAAGGCAAGAAGCCTATGCTAGAAACAGAGAGAAAGCTAAAGAGTTTCAAAAGGTAATTACATATTGTGTAGCATTGTGTTCTTCCCAGAACAGCATTTCCTTATTTGTGTGTGTATTGCTCTGGGTAGTTCTGATAATTTCACAGATAGTTCAGTGCAGGCTATAGTGTATATAATGTGCATATCTGATTGAGACTGGGGAGATAGGGAAGCCTTTCTTGTGGAAATGACATTCCAGCACCAGCTTGTGGTGGCTTTCCGTCCCCCTCAGCCACACCTCCCAATCAGACTTTGTGTTCCTCCTCCCTTCTCACACCTTTTGAATGGGAGACGATAGTACCATTTATATTTGCCTGGCATTTTTTTATTATAAGACTGTTTAAAAATTATAACTTAGCTTGGAAACTGCCTATGCAGTGTGTCTGCCTCAGGCTGATTATTTATTTAATTCTTTATTTTAAGTATGTGCCAGAAGAACTGAGTCACTTCTCAGAATGCAGCAAGGGGAAATGTCTTAAGTTCTACTAACCATTGAGATCTTGTAGTGCCCCCAGGGAATAGGAGTACGGTCTCAAAATCAGGCAGAGAGTGATCTTTGCATCAGAGACTGTTGCATTTGTTGCCATCTAGGTAAAATTCAGTCAAATTTGGCCAGGCTACAGGCAGCAGAAAAATTGATTTACATTTGCTGGGAAGATTAAACAGCTGCAGCTAAAGTGTCCAGAGATTCTAGCCATGCACCATCTTAGGGCCACAGGAGTTACCAGCCATTGTTTAGAGCTGGCTTGAGCCGTGGAACAGAGGCTAGAGAGACTGCTGCTCTTGAGTTGTCAGAGCTCCCATCCCTCCTCTGGGGCCAGACTGCACACAGGGAGGCGCTTCCTCTACTAAGCGTGGAACAGGCAAGAACTGGGATAGACTAGAATGTGGTGTTCAGGGATAAGTCTTGCAAAACTTTGGATCCCTCATCCCCAAAAAGCAAAAGCAAGTTTCCCCCTTACAAGGCAGCAGAGAGTCCCTGGGAAAAGGTGAGATCAAATCAAGAGTGCAACCTTTTGGCTTCCGTTCCTCCCCTCTGGTGCTTTTGGGAAGAGCTGCTCTCACTCAGTGAAGTTGCTCTGGGGGTATCCACCATAGCTAATCTCCAGACCTGTCTGTTGTGTGGTTGAGACCAGCTCTGAGCTGCACCACCCAGAGTGATTTCATCACTATTTCCAGGTTTGTTGGGTGAGAGTGGGGGGCATAGGCTCGGGGTTGTTCCTATTGGAGAGCACTGGGGATGTTTTAGGAATGTTTGGAGCTTTTCTTCTACATGAAGGCTCTTACAACACTGGGTCAAACTCACCATCCTCCTTCAACATGCATAGAGGGAAGCCTGTCTTGAAGCCCCAAGTCCTGTTGTAGTGAACTGAGTGTAACGAGAACTGTGCCTGTTTGGCTTTCAGACCAAGACCCCGTTCTGTGCTATGGAAAGGGACCAATTTAATACAGAGAAATGTAAAGTGTTCCATCTAGGGGGGCGGGAATTCTTTGAGTCAGCCAGGCTGCAGCCTGTGCCAGGGTTCTCCAAGAACACGGAGCTGAGAGGGGAGAAGCTCAAGAGGAAGGCCACATGCATAATTAGAGGCCTGGAGACCAAGACATATGAGGAGAGGCTGAGGGACTTGAGATTGTTCAGCCTGTAGAAGAGAAGACTCAGGGGGACTTGGTTGTAGCCTATAAGTATATTAGGGGTGTACATCAGGGCTTGGGGGAGCATCTATTCACCAAGGCCCCCCCAGGGGAGGACAAGAAATAATGGGCACAAACTGATTGAAGATCACTTCAAGCTAGACATTAGGAAAAACTTCTTTACAAGCCCAAGTGCTGAGAGTTTGAAACAGGCTTGCTCCAGAAGTGGTACAGTCATCCACCCTGGCAATCTTCAAAAAACGCCTTGACGTCCATCTTGCTGGGATCATTTGATCCCAGCACTCTCTCCTGCTCACGTGCAGGGGAGCTGAACCCAGTGATCTGGACCCCAGTGGTCCCTTCCAGCCCCTAACAACTGTGAAACTATGATTTCAAGCAGCAGCAGAGCAGACATTGAGCCTTATCAGCCACGAACACTTACTGAGAGAGAGAGAGAGAGGCTCAGAGCTTGAAAGGCAGAAAAGGATTTCTCTGTTCTTACCACGCTTCACAGGCTAGCTCCACCTTAAAGCATGAGGAGCCGTGTACCCAGCTTCTGGGATCTCTGCTCACCAGGAATCTGCACCATATGGCTAATAGAAGGGAGAGGTATTGCTTCCCCTCCCGACTTGTTGAATAAAACCCGTGAAGGTAATCAGTGGGCGCATCTACACAAGCAATTAAGGTACATGAATAAATGCTGGAATTTATTGCTCCAGAAGGTATTGCACATTTGAACATGTGCCCAGGAACAGTAAACTCCAGAGCAATAAGCTCCGGAGTTTATTCATACACAGTACAGTGAGCAGGGTCAGACCAGCCCTGGCTGGCAGTGTCAGCCTGCCAGCCCAGGGCTGTTTAGACCTGGCTTAGTGTGCTGCAGTGCCTGGGGCACAAGGGTGCTTTAGTGTGGGGCTAGCCAGCAGGCAGCCCCCACACTAGTATTTTCATGCCCCAGCCAACCTCTTCAGCATCTACATGTGTGTTGCTGCAGAGTTGGGTTTTTTTTATTCCACAGCAGGATAGTATTTGTATTTACAAGTACTATCCTGCTGCAGAGTTAGTTTATTCCAGCCTAATAGGGGTGAACGTGTAGATGCCGAGACATTTATTGTGCAGCTAACTACTCAACTGTACAGTAAATGTCTGGTGTAGACATACCCAGTATCTCCTACACCACGTATTTGGATGCCTGGCAGCCTAGGGGAGCAGGTAAGCAACCCTCAGGCTCCCGAGGACATCGTGGGCATATCTACACTAGGTACTTAGTGTGCAAAAGACAAATTCCACTGCGTATTAGCACAGCAGGAAAAACCTGTGCTAATGTGCAGTAGAATAAATCTACTGTGCATTAACATCACAGACAAACCTTTTGTGCTAATGCGCAGTCACGCCAATTACAGTACATTAAGCAAGTACATGTCATTACAGGTACTAAACTTAATGCGCCGTAATTAATAGCACATTAATGAATGTGTAGATATGCCCCTTGACAGCTCTTTCTACAACTGGGGTGTTTAACCCAAGACTCCTTCTCAGCTGACTCCCAAGTCAAGCAGGCAGTCTATCAATGACTTCCAGTCAAGCCACTATCTCCCTTCATTTAGATACACATTCCTATAGAAAATTCCTTTGAGGATTAAAGTCAAATGAGGACTTCTGATTTAAACTAAGTTTAACTAAATGCTTTTTTTTCTGATCCATACTCCACACCAAGCATAGTATAATGAAGTGGTTTTAACCCATGGCCTTCCTTCTATGCATGTTATCCCTCCACAACTCCACCCAACTACTTCAGATCTAACCGCCGTCTGATGATACTTACACGCTTTGCCCTTTTTATTTGTAGAAAACACTGGAAAAACTTCGAGCAAGAAAGATGCATTGATGTACACCAGATCCTGTTAGAAGACATTTGGGAACATGATGAAGGCATTACTACTTTCCTAGTGCAATCCAAAGAATGCACTTACAGCATCAAACTTAGATTAAGCAATATCATGTAATAATTGTGAATAATGAGCTTTTAATATATTTGAAAATCATAATTTAAATCATTATTATAGCAACCTAGATAATGTTTTATTCCCACAACTAAACTACTACAAAGACCGGTATAACTATGCTTTGTTCAGTCTGTCAGTTTAAAGTCAATTTCTGCTTATATTTATAGTGACTCGGGTTAACAAGATCAAGATTCTTGTAGAAAGGTGGGGAGGGGGGTTCTTAATTGTTGTACGACAGCATTTGAAAGGTGTCAGATTCATTCTTTTTAATAAATTTTTGTACTGAAATCTAGAATTTATTTGCCAAGAGTCATTGCTTGAAAAAAAAAATCCAAGGGATAATAGGCACATCTTGCCCAATTCCTGTTGTTGTCAATGACAGTTAAGTGCTTAATTCCCACTGCAAGTTAATAGTGACCATATGGGAATTAAATACCTTTACCCCTATTCGAAATTCCCTGCTGAGTTCCCAAGTTTGGTAGACTCCTAAGCACTGCATCCTGGGATACTGGAGGATATCCAACTTGAGCAGCACATTTGTGGGGAGTGGCCATACCTTAATGGAACAGGAGCTGGGTTGTGGGGATCAGAGATAATCCTGCTCTGGAGTGGCATAACTTTGAGCTGTATAATGAGTGCTTTAAACCACTTTAAAGTGCTAATATGTGGACAATCCAAGAATTAAGAGCTCCAGTTATACCCTGCCCTGCCTGTAAAACTTAAGTATGAGACAGTAACATGAACTTCCACCACGTAGATGGCGCCAATAAATATTCTTATTGAACTGTTGGAGTTCCTAGGCTTCGGAGAAGATGTGTATAATTCAATTGATCTTCCTTGCCTGTGGGGTAGTGGTGGCAGCAAAGTTATTTGCATCCTAATTCTGATAGGGAGCTAGTGATATCCATCAGTTGTGGGTCACTAGCTGTGTCACCACCAACTGCAGTTCCAGGTACAGTAATGCCAACTATCACAAAAATATTGTGAGACTCGGGATTTCAAAGTCAAAATAACTCCAACTCGCAATTTCCTGATCCAACCCTCAGATCTCTGGATTTTCGCAGCTGATAAGTGGGGGGGGGAGGGGGATCAGGGCCCCCGCAGTGAGGGAGGGAATGGGGCCAGAGCAGGAGCTGAGGAGGAATAGAGCCCCAGAGCTGGAGCAGGTTGTCCAGAGGTGTGGGGAAGGGTTTTGGCTCCCCACACCATTGCACAGCCCCAGGGGGAGGAATGGGGGCATGAGGCGGGCTGCCTGCTCAGGCTCTGCACCCTGCTGCCTTGCCCCAGGAGCTCAGCTGCATGATGCTATTGCTGCCCACCCAGGTGGGCAGGAGACACGGGGCTTGCTGGCCATGCAGTGCACCCTCTGCCCGCCCAGCAGCAGGAGGCGCGCTGGGGTTTCATGACTGAGCTCACAGGGCAAAGGCAGCAGGGCATAGAGCCCCAGCCTACCTCTGCCCCACAAGGGACACATGCCCCCATGCCTCCCCTGAGGTGTGCGCTGCTGCGGGGAGCTGTGCCCCACTCCCCACACACAAACACCTCTGGGTGACCTGCCCTACTCCTCCCTCACTGCTGATCTCCCCCCACCCCACTTTCCCTCCACTTACCAGCTAGGTGCTGTCTGTGTATCTGTCAGTGTCTGTGCATGTCTCTGTCCACTCCTCAACTCCCAAGCCACAGCCCACCCAGCTCTGCTGCTGCCCCTCTCTTGACCCCCAGCACCCTGCATCCTACCAGGGTGTGTGGGGACCCTTCCTTCCCAGGTTCCTAACCCCACACACACATCCATGATTTTGGTACTGTGGGTTTGGCGATACTGCAGGTATACTTCCCACTTTCAAGGACTACTAGAGCTGTCCAGTTCCACAGACCCCCTTGTTCTGAGCCATGCAGGCTCTGGGATTCTTCTCTTCTTGTGGCTATTCTGCCAGGGAGCGACTCCAAGGGTCACTATGCCTCCTTCATTGACTTCACTTCAGCACTGCAGATCTGCCTGCAGAACTGAGCCCGTGTCTAGTCCTTTATACATTCTCCTCTTTTAGGAGCAACTTCCTTCAACGCAATAGCATAATCTCTTTCAGAGATTTCCAGGACCCTGTAAAGTGGATTGCCTAGGTCTCAAATTCCTACTGAGTTTGGAAACGTATGAACACATACAGTTATGACTGAGGCACAAATCTATGTCTCTAAATCAGCTTCTAGTAAGGTAGTGTTTCCCTAATGAAGCCACATGCAAAGTTGACCAGTAGTTCTTAACTTTCTGAGATTCAAGGCACCCCTCAGAAAATGCCAATTGGTGTTTGCTCAATTTTTTTGACTACAGAAAAATAATAGAGCAATTCTTTTAGTGTGAAGAAATAAAAAACCATGCCAGGCCAGAGTATTTAACACTAACAAACCCAGAGATTTTAAAAAATTGTCTTATGAATCACGTTTGCACACCTAATACAGCATTAGCATTTCATGGCATCCCAGGGTGCTGCAGCACACTGGTGCCTTGCAGGAACATGAAGTTTTTATAGCCACTGTGTTCTCTTCTTTCTTGATGAAGATGCAAAGCAGTTCTAAGAGGAAAAAAGAGCCAAAAAACCCTGGGCCTGGAAAGGAAATCTTCCTGATTTCAAGTTGCTGACTGCATTGCCTTCTAAGATAGTACTGCGATAAGCTGTAGCTCACCTACCTCCACTTGTTATCACATTGTGCAGCGCACTACCATATTTACTCAATTCTAAGACAAGATTTTTCCCTTGGTTTCCATTACCAAGCACATACTCATTTTGGCAGCAGTTTATGATAGGCAATGTATGTAGTGAAATTTCCTTATATGTGATTATAAGATGAGGGCCTTTTCCCTCCATGCTAACTAACTACGAAGCTGATTAAATGCAGCCAACACTGACTATAATGTGTTTTTTTTTAATATTTCATTTCAAGGGCCAAATCACTTCCAGATTCAATTAGGCAAAGCCCAATAGTCAAGGTCCAAAGTTCAGCTGAGCAGAGCTCAATTATACAAATCTATGTGGCTTTACCACCAGAAAAGTATCCTCCCTCCCAGACTCATCAGTCTGGGACTTGGGATATTTCCCCAAATCCATGGCAGGCATCCTATGTGCAAGCCCCAGGTCCAACAAGCCTTGTTTTGAAATTTCACATCTTGAGTCAAATTGGTTTCAAATTCTATCGACTGAGCACAGCTGAGTCATTCAGTCTGAGCACAGCAGGGAGCAGTGGGGACAGATATGGATGGGGAGGGATGCCTCAGGCAAAAGCAGTGGTAGGGAAGGGGACTCTGGGGTTTTCTTTAGTGCAGAAGCCATCAGACACTTGGCCATGATGATGGGGATGTGGCTAGAGGGCATGATGTCTCCAGCATCAAGTAGCAGAGTGGAGAAAGGCTAAGCCAAATGGATGGTAAACTTAAAATTCTGTATTGGATTGTGGCTGGGAATATTAGTACTTTAAATGTCCAGAGCATGCGGTCATGAAGAAGGTGGGGAGGGATGGAGCCAACCTTAGCAGCAGCAGGCACCAATATTTTGTGCCTGCAAGAGTGCAGATTGCTGTGGGAGCAGAATTATAAATGCTTATGAAGACAGGGTCCCTCATGGTGGTTGGGCTCGCTAATAAATAAATCAACCGGGGTGGGGATTTTGGTTAAGGAAGGCAGGGTGAAAGTGCGATACCATCCAGACGCTGGTGTTTAGGGACAATTGCAAGAGACAGTGGTGGTGGGAGGGAAGGTGGTGGAGCTTTTTAACATGCACACTCCAAAGAGAAGGCAGGATTTCATTGTTTAAAAAGTTGGGGAGCTGTGTGCAGGGAGGGGGACATCCGTGGGTAAGGTGAGGGATTTAAATTGGATTGTTCAAATTGGGGAGCAGGATGCGGGAGGAGGGCAAGCTGGATAGCTCAGAGAAATTATGTCAGTGGGTCAAGGAAGAGGGCCCAATTGAAGTTTGGGAAGGTGTAGGAGTGCTCAGACAGGTGGAGCCTGGGGGCAAGAGAGCTTCCCAAATAGATTTTTGTCTTCCTGTCAGAAGGGATGCAAGTGAAAAAGAAGGATATCATGGATGCGAGTTTTTCTGACCATAATGGGCTGCTGAGGGTGGAGCTGGGAGCAGGGGTGGATGGAGGGAGGGGGAAAATGGATGTGGAGGCTGAATACTGTACACAGCTGCTAAAGGAGGAGGAATAAAGACGGTTCAAGGAAGCTTCCGAAGCCTGAAGGACATGAAAAGGATGTTTTAGATTGAAGTGGGAGTGGTGGGTGATGGTAGAGAAGCAGGTGGGCGAATGGTTTGGGAGGATAGGGAGGAGGAAAGCCCAACAACGGGCACAGGAGTTGGCACAGGTGTGAGCAAAGGTGCAAGTGTTGATTAGAGAGGCAGGAAGGGGTAAATGGATATGAATTGAAGAACAGTATTCTCCCCAGTGGCATGAGAGGTTTCAACAAGGGAGTCCTATGAGAGCTACTCCAGGTAAACAAGGAAGACCTGATTTACATATGGAGACTAAAGCCCTCTCTGGACTGGGAGGTGGGTTTCAGGAATCCTGGAGCCAGTTTCTGGCAACACCTCAGAGGCAGGACAGGATCCCAGGCTGAGACTTGCTTTTTACAGGGGAGATACCAGGGGAACCTAATGGAGACAGGAGTTTGTAAAAATTGATCTGTGCACAACAAATAGGAAAGAGACCTCCATTTCTGGTTCACTACGCACCGAGTCTATGGGAACGATAGAAGAGGAGACAGATGGAGAAGGAATCTGGACTGGAGCCTGGATTGCTACAGTAGCCCCAGGGCACTGCAGCATTTGCCAGCATCCCTGAACTTCAGCCTCCACAGAGGCTTGATTTACTATAGAGGCCAACCCAAACTGCACTGCAGATGTGGACAGGAGGGACATCAAAACAGCTCTGTGCTATCTGCAACCAGACTGGGCACAAATCCCAAAGCTGCAACAAAGAAAGTATTGCAACCTCTGCAGGAAGGAGGGTCACCTTTTCAGAAAACACCTGTGGGCAAAAGTACGTAGAAAGGCAAGAGGAAGAGGCCAAATTCAAGTCCATTACCCTTGAGCCAGAAGTACAGGACAGGACAGAACGGGAATGAGTAAGGACAAAATGGAACAGAAGGAAAAGGAAGAGAAAACAGAGGGGGAGAGACCTCCAGAGCCAGAGTAGAAACCCCTCTTGCAAACAGTAGTAGAGAGCATTAAGATGTTAAAGCAACTGTCTGGAAATCCAACAGCCACAAGAAAGAAACAAGATAAGGAGGAAGAGGGAAAAGGAAAGAATCCCAGGAGAAGAGAGGGAGCCCTAGACTCAGGGAGAAAGCCTGAAAGGGAAGGGGAAAGAAGGGAAAAAACACTGAAACCCAAGAAACTCCTTCCCAGTTAGACCCCCTGGAGGGGTACAGATAGAGCCAGGGTAAGAGCAAGAGGAAAGGTCAAACCGAGAACAACCAGATGAGCTCTGCAGGGAAACCTAAGGAGGTCCCTAGACAAGAAAAACACCAAGTCCCAGAGTGAAAGGAAAAAAGCAAAATTGAAAGCCAGGACAGAAAATGAGGTTCCAGATAGGTAGCCCCTCTCCCCTTCCCAATTCAGATAGCACAATGAAAAGAATCAACATAGTTTCTACTAACGTGAGAAGTTTGGTGGGAAAAGGAAAATGGGATGAGGTAGTACAACCCCTGGACCAGAGAGAAGCTGACATTATTTGTTTACAGGACTGTAGTTTCCTTAGTAATGCCAGCAGCTTCTCTTGGCGGAGCAGCCCTGTGAAGCTGGTCAGAGCACAACAGGGCAGCAGGGGTAGCAGTACTGCTGCAAGAGAACAAGGTGAGCCACCTACAGCACAAAGCAATAGTTGCAGGCAGGCTGTTACAAGCCTCAATAGAAGTAAATGGAAGTGCTTTTGAACTGTGCACTGTGTATGCACCAGCAAATAAAGCAGCAAGGTGTGCCTTTCTTGATAACATGAATATACCGATGCTGACTGGCAGAGCAGTGACGATTGCTGGGGATTTCAACTGCATCTTCAGAAAGGGAGACAGAGTAAACAGAGCCCAAAGAACAGGCATGGACAGGTAGAAAAAATATTTAAAGCTGCATTTATGGCTGAATCTCTGATTCTCTGAGAATCAGCATCAAATCTTCAGGTTCAGCCAAATCAAATCGGGACAGTGATCCAAATCAACAAACCAAATTACTGGCCCCAATTTGGGTCGAATTCAAATCTAACACAGCAATCTTTGTCAACACAAAGTCCCTTAAAAATGAGGCAAGCAATGGGAATGGGGGGGGGAGCAGAGTTTGACTGCAGTAGTAGTGTGGAAGATCTGGAAAGCAGGAGGAATGTTTCCTTCTCTTTCCTCAGTGTGCAGGGAGATTCAGCCTGGAGCTGGGAGACCCCTGAGCCTGGTGTCCTGTGCTGGCCAGACAGCATCCCCTTGTGGGCAGGGTGGCTGCACCCCATCCCTGTGGAACTGTGCAGGCTAGGTAATCCCACATGCTGTGGCTCAAGCCTGGGGAGTCCAGGGGCAGCCCTGCTTCCCACCCAGTCCCTCCCTTCCCAAGGGGCCAGCCTGCCTGTGGTGCCTTCCCCCATGCTTGCTTCTCCCTGCACTGCCCAGACCCTGCTCTGAGCACCTGGCCCCAGGGCTTGATGCCATCCCATGACAGGGCATCCACCTGCCTGAGCCCCCTTAGCAGCTCCTACCCCTGCCCCCCATTTCCAGGGGCTGGGCCAGGCTGGGGGTGCAGCCTGGGGGCAAAAGTTAGGATCAGCAGAACAAACTGTATCCCTGCCTGGCTTTTCCTGGTGCTGGCACCTGTGGCAGCTCTGATCAGCAACTTAAAAAAATGCTGATTTAAGTAATTTCCTCACATGCCTCCTAGCCTGCCAGGGAAAAAAAAAAATCTCTCTACCACTAAATGACACACATGCCAGGGGTTGCCTATTCCTGGTCTACCATATCCTTCTACTGCAAGCATCATGGTTATATACTTTATGGCACTGGGGAGTTACTCTTGAGCTTCCTCTTTAATTTGCTCCTATGACCTTTGGCTGCAGGCAGCTGAACCCCAAAGCCTCCAAGCTCTAGTGTTGCATGTATGATGCCTGCTATTTATTTAGGAGTATCTGAAATGCAAGACTGATCAGTCTGAGATGAGACTGTGGTAAGTCATACAGATCTACGGCACTAACTCTGCTCAGTCAGTACAATTTTGACCTGATTTGGCTTGAGGCATAAATAAACACTTCTGCTAAAACTTAAAGGAATTTGAAAACAAGATAACAGGCATCAGATCTAAATGCTGCCTGACTTATGTGCAAACTGCTACAGGCATGTTTAATTTCAAGGTCTTCAAAAACTTGCTCACTTTGACTAGCTTAGGGAAAGCAACATCTGCTAGTTAGAGGGGGAAGGGGAAGAAGTTAGGGAAGTGAAGCAGCTATTTAACCTTCCAGATTTGTTTTCCCTGCTGTAGCAAGGGAGACAAATTCAAGACAAGTGTCCAATAATTTACTTCTATACCTAGAAAATTACAACATTTTTCCATATCTAGAATTCAAGTACAAGGTATCTGGTTTTCTAGACTAGACTTTGGTCTCCCACAGGTGCCTACTCCAGCCATGTATTAGAGAGTATTTGTTGACTGTTCACCAAACCCATAGCAGCAGCAGCAATACAATTTCAGCAAACAAGCTCTTTTTTAATTTTATTGGCAGAAGCACAGACTCTTTAGGATTTTAAATGCTTCCATAATTAGAGAGGAGTTGAGCAGGGATTTTGTGGATCCAAGTTCTAGATTTAAGCATTAAGTCCTCTTGTGGTTCTAGCTTTTTGCTTCTTTGTTGTCAGAATATTCCAGAGCTTGGAGTACGATTACATGCTAGCCCAAGACATCCAAGTTACAGAAAACTTTTTTTTTTTTTTTTTTTTTTAGTTTTTAAAGAATTTTATACATTCATCTGAAAGATTTCAGGAAAGTCTTTTTAAATTAAAAAACAAAACAAAAAAAAACAAACAAACAAACAACCAAGTAATTCTTCACTGTACAGTCCATTAGGTTTACACAGCAAGGCACAAGAATTTTTTTGCTGTTTTGCAGAATCAGTCCATTATGAAGTCATACCACAGGTTTCCATCAGAAATCACTCCATTAAATCTTCTAAAAAAAATGGTCTTAACAGAAATTGTCCAGCAAGTTCCTGTTCTGCAATTTTGCCAGGTATCACTAACCTGAAAAAGATATTAAAACACATATTACACTCTTGCCACATGCTAACAGATTGAAGGTTCACACTGACTGTTTATACCAGGGGTGCTGGGGTGCTCAACCTCTGCCTACAGGGCTCCCCACATCTTGGGAAGTTAGGCAGCAGGGGAGCAGTGGTAATTAAGACTGCCACCACTCCACTGCTGCCAAATTCTCAAGTCCTGCACAGTGGGATAGAGCTGGGCCACATCCCCTCCCCTACACAGCCATAGTGGAATCAGACCATCTCCTCACACAGCCACATTAGGCCTGGACCAAACCCCTTCCCCATCATGGCTGGACTGGGGCTAGGCTGCCCCCTATCGCTCCTCCATGCTGCCAGATGGGGCCCTGCAGCACTCATCCTGGGCTCCAGATCAGAACCACCGGCTCAATCTGGCCCATGGACAAACTGGGTGCCACGATCCTGCCCACCATGGAAAATGGTTAAGCACTGCTGGTTTATACCAAAGTAAGTCATTAGCTCACTTAGGTTACAATTTAGCCAGACTAGAACACTTGCCAATTATAGTTTCTTTAACTGGTAAATTTACTAGCATTAATCCACAAGGATTATCATCTCACACAATTTGTTTGTATGGGCTCAAATTGATCCAGCCTACTTCTAATGACTTTGATGCAACTAAAAAAAAAATTAAACCAAAAAACCCCCAAACACACTGTACTTCTGGTATGGATAGTAGTAGCCAAATCTCAAGATGTATACGTTTTGAAGATAACATCCTCTCTCCATCAGAGGGAGAAAGTGCTTTACATCTCTGCAGGTCCCAAAAAAATCACCAGTTACGAGATAGGGGCATTTTCCCTTGGTTCAGTCCCAACTTGGCCCTACCAGCAAGTTTTCAAACAAGTCTGATTTTGTTTCATTGAATGTGGATCTGGTTTGTCAAATGAATGTCTGCTCAAGCAACCAGAAGTCAGACCTAACAGAGCAAGAAGTCAACCATCACTTTTTAGAGCGAAGGTCAAGCTAAAAGAATGCAAGCAAAACTTTCAACTCAGTCTCCAGAGAAGCCTAAACTTAATTCTGGCAGAGCCTGAAGCTAACTAGGCAAAAATTAAGTCTCCAAGGACAACCAACTGGGCAAGTATTTGTTAATAATGTTGTGATCAGTTTTACTGCTTTAGATGTTTTCATTTGTAGACCAGACCATCAAAACCTATACATCAGAATCAGGGTGTCACACTCATCTGGTCCTACCAGCTGGATGAGTAGCATGGGGCAGTCCACAGGCTGGACTGGGCCCATAGACCCCTTCCCCTCTCCCTGCATACCAGCCTGAGTCCCATGCTGCATGTGATCCAGATCCCAGAACAGCTGAGACAAGTGCTGGACACAGCATAGTGCAGCTGGGGGCTTGTAGCACAGATCCCAGAGCTGCTGGGGCAGGTGCCACGAGGCACAATCCAGCTAGGGCCAGACTATGTGCGGTGTGGCACCTGCTCCAGCCAATCTGGAATCTGTATCACAAGTGCTGACCCATGCATGGCAGCCCCAAAGTAACCACAATGCTGGTCTGACATGCAACCATGCCTTTAACATTAGAATATAGTAAACCTTAGGTTACTTTTCCAAACAGGATGCACTCATCTATGCTGGTGTTTGGACACAGTAATAATAATAATACAAGAGAAAAAAAAGCATCCTATATGACAGAGCTTGGCCACATTAAGTATCTCCCCAGTAATAGACCACAGTGCACACCAAGTGCCCATGGCATCCTGCCAAGGATTTCAATATTAGGTCATTGCGTTAAGAGCTGCTGGTTTCACAGCCATGCAAACCCTCTCTGAAATGACCTTGAGCTACACTGTGTAGCATTTCTATTAAGCATCAGCACTGCCAGCACAGACTTACGTTTGACAGAGAAGGAATTCTAGCTGTATTGCAAATATCAGGTCTTTGTCTTCCTTTGGGATCTGCTGTCAAAATGCTCACTAGCAAATGACTATAAAAGAAAGTCACTAGATTAGATCAGAACAAAGTGAATATTCATCAAGCAGTTCTGAAACTGTGGTAAAGACAATGTAGAACAAGCATTATTCATTTGCTAACCTTTTCAGCTTCATTACCAGCCTATTAGTACCAGTCATCTAATAAAGTGGTCTTCAGTGCATGCTCAGCAATGAACATTAATTACCCATCAGGATTTTTGCCAATAATCTGAGATTTAATTTCAGCTCAGACTATTAAGAACAAAAACTAAAGAAACAGGCTGCCCAATTATGTTAAAATTTGGTAAGCTGTCCATGCCATTTACTAACCAAATCTTCTGCACAGTAGTGCTGTGCACCCTAGAGGGCTCCATCTTCAATCTCGTGTTTCCAACAGATGTAACGCTACTTCAGTAGCGATGCAAACATCTGATGGATTCTCTTTATGGTCATGTCCACAGCATACTAGAAACAGTGTTTTCCTAGCAGCCTTGGTAATGACCAGGTATTTGCCAAAGTATTTCTCATGTTACAGACACCAACTTGAACTGTAATGCAGTTGAATTACATTCCAAATATTCATCTATTAACCTTTACATGCAAAAGGGACATTTTTCATCTGGCAGCAAAGAATAACTTGATGCTCTAAGATTTAAACTGACTCAACCTGAGCATGTCCACATGTTCAAATAATGTGCATTAAATCTAGTACCTCCATTGTGAGGCTTCACCAGGCTTAAATCAGGGTAATGAAGCTATGTTTCTGGCCATCCCTAACAGCTCATTGGGAACCCACCCCCTCCCCAAAACTTACCAACAAGTAGAAAAAGCCCTGTACTCTTGGAGCAGGG